CCGTCCGTCCTCGTCAGTCAACTTTTCCTTTAAACAACTTCTTCTGAAGAACGGACAGGCCTAGAGTAATTATATTTAGCTGAAAGCTTCGTTGGTATGAGCCCTACAAAGTTTGAGAACGAAAATGACCTTGACCTGTTTTCAAAGTCACAGGGGTCAAATATGTCAAAAACTTCAAACGACTTCTTCTAAAGAACTAAAAGGTATAGAATCTTCATATTTGGCTGATGGCTTCCTGGGATAGAGCCCAACAAAGTTTGAGAATGAAAATNAACTTCAAACGACTTCTTCTGAAGAATTAAAAGGTATAGAATCTTCATATTTGGCTGATGGCTTCCTTGGATGGAGCCCAACAAAGTTTGAGAACGAAAATTACCTTGACCTTCTTTCAAGGTCACAGGGGTCAAATGTGTCAAACACTTCAAACGACTTCTTCTGAAGAACTGAAAGGTATATAATCTCTATATTTAGCGTGTAGCTTCTAGGAAAGAGCCGAACAAAGTTTGAGAATGAAAATGACCTTGACATTCTTTTAAGGTCACATGAGGCAGTTATGTCAAACACTTTAAACGACTTCTTCTGCAGAACTGGTAGTTATAAAATCTTAATATTTGGCAGGTTGCTTCCTGGGAAAGAGCCAAACAAAGTTTGCGAATGAAAATGACTTTGACCTACTTTCAAGGTCACAGCGTTCAAATATGTCAAACAGTTCAAACAGCTTCTTCTGAAGAATTAAAAGGCATAAAATTACAATATTTGGCTCACAGAGGTCAACAACATGTTAATGGATTTGTTCTTGAGAACTAAAAGGAATGGATTCATAAGATTTGGCTGGTAGCTTTTTGGAATAGAGCTAACCAATTTGAGAAGGAAAATGACATTGCCCTACTTACAAGATCACAGGGAAAAATATGTCAAGCAACTCCTGAAGAAGAATCAAAAAGCATAGAATCTTATAATAATATTTTGCTGGTAGTTTCAACAGATGGAGCCAACAAAGTTTGCGAGGGAAATATTTTTAGTGCAATATAATATTTAATGAGAATATTTTGCTATGACTGCTTAAATATTCAGGTGAGCGATACAGGCCCTCTTGGGCCTCTTGTTACTGTTATGTTTAGTGTAGATCATCATATCCCTGATAACATGTACATGTACAAACATCGATACTGTTATTTTCTGGAAAGGAAGTTGGCAGGAATATATACTTTGAAGAAAAGGGAATTCATTATCTACTGGGTAATAATGCAGATTAACTATCTACTGGGGATCAAAGATCTCTACTGGGAAGCAAGATGACTGAAAATATCTACCGAAAAGAACAAAAGGTGGCTAGATGATTTACTGGGGAGGAAATTGCAGGAATAGCAAGTGTAAAGGAATATGGTTGGATTATTTACCTGAAAGATGACTGGCATAAAGGAGGGTGGTTGGATTATCTACCAGAAAATAAGGTAACAGTATTATCTGGTGTAGGAATATCGCTGGATGATCTACTGGGAGGAAGGAAACAGGATTATCTGATATGAATGGAGGTGGTTGGATTTTCTACTTGGAAGGAAGATGACTTGATTATTAGCTCACCTGGTCCAAAGGTATGAAATACCCGGCGTCCGTTGTCCGCCCGTCGTCTGTCCTTCTGACAACCTTTTCTCCCTAACTACTGACTTTAATTTAAATAAATTTAGCTAGAAGCATTCACTAGGGGCTGAGGGCTTGGGCTAAAAGTTGGGTAGTTTGGCCTTATTGCTTTAAGCAACCTCTTCTCTAAAACTAAGTGAAGGATATCAATTGTTTTTGTTTGGAGCATCCTTCGTTTGTGGGAATTAAAAGTTGTACAAATGACAGTGTTTACCCTCCAAGGGGCTGCTGAGTGGTGGGGCCAAACATGGATAATTTGGCCATATTGCTCTAATCAACCCATAGCCATTTGTACCAATGATGGGCATAACTATCCAGGTGAGCGATACAGGCCATCTGAGCTTCTTGTCTCTTGTGGATTATAATGAAGAATGTGACAGGATTATCTAGTATGTGGGGAGGTGACTGGAATGATCTAGTGCAGGAAGGTGGCTGGGTTGCTGGATTATCTAGAATGAATGAATGAATGAATGAATGAATGTGACTGGATTACCTTGTCTCCACATCATATGATTTACACATTCTTTGCATAGAAAATGACATCTTAGAATATACAGTACAATTAAGAGTGTTTGAATACTGTTGTGGCATACAAAAAAAATCCTTTCCCTGCTTTTTATGAATCAATATTAATTTCGAAATATCCATAAAATACAAATAATGAAACAATATAAACAATGAAAACACATATAGAACAGTATTAATATGACCCAGATTGGTATCACAATGGTTTATGCCTTATAAGATTGTTCTTAACTTGAGCATTCAGAAATTTCTAATCTCGGTCAATTATGGCAAATGTGAAAAAATATTACATGAACAAAAATTATTCAGGGCAGAATAACAGTCTGAATACCATTGGACAATGTAACCAATTAAACTTTACATCCATAATACATATATACTGAACAAAAAAAGAAAAAAGAAAGTTTGATTTCGCCATTGACTGAGATGCCACACTTAACGCAAATTCAGAGGGGTAGAGCAATTGTGATGTTGATGGATGGTCAAAGCCAAACTGCTGACGCACGATCCAGACAGAGACCAGATCCTCCAACCACATGTCCTCCCACTTCTCAGACGTCGTAACCTAATTTTCCAGCAAGACAATGCTCGACCGCATGTTGCCAGAGTCTGTCATGATTTTCTCACAGCAAACAACGTTCCGCCTCTGGAATGGCCCCCATATAGCCCCGACATGTCTCCCATTGAGCATCTGTGGGATGAGCTGGACAGGCGTATTAGGAAACGTCAAAAAAAACAACACTAACCGCGCCCAGCTGATCGCAGCATTAACAAAAGAATGGAACAACATTCCCTTAAGGCGAATAAATGTTCTCATGAATTCAATGCATAGGAGAATCCGTGCAGGGATTCGTACAAAAGGTGCCCACACCAGGTACTGAAGTGTCATTTTGTTTTCCGCGGGTATCCCACTTTGAGTAACTACTGATGACACGAGTGACATCACACAGACTTTTCTACTACAGTATTGTAAAGAGTAGACTTGTCCCTTCATATTGATATAAAATTTTGTACAAATTTCCCAAAATATCATTGGCTATTGATTGCATAATTTAATTGTGCGTTTCTTTTTTTGTTCAGTATATATCTAAGGATAAGCAGACCAATTATAGTCGTGTTTGGTAGTCGTGTTTGGTTAAGTCTATGGAACACAATCACAATCACTGTCAGATAAACTTTAATTTAACAATACAACAACTGACAATGTCATTGACTTTACCAGTTTTTCAAAGAATCATTATCATTCAACAAAAACACATATAGAACAGTAATTACACGTTTGGCTCAGTTATACAACAACATTTTATGATGAGAACATTCTTAACTGAAAATTTCTTAAAATTTCTTAATCCATACTATTTTTTTCTTTTTTTTTATTCAATTCATTGTTCCAAATTAAGAGATGATTTGTAAACATATGATACATGTATAAAAAGCTAACTTTTACACTAAACTCATTCATCCCTGAAGTTTCATAATGAACTATTCCAACCTTTGAATTGGTAGAGTTCAAATGTGTCTTCAGGGGTGAGGTATCAGTTATAGCTAATTTTGTTAATGTTCTTAAAACAAAGATTATTTATGACACTGGCCAGATATAACACCAGGTTTACTGATGTCATTGTCATATCCAACTAGTCTCATTATATCAAAGGCAAATGGTAGGCGACTACAAACTTTAATCCACAAACAGTCCTTATATAAATAAACCACATATTGATTTTTTAAATTAAGTAATATTATGTCATAATATGTTTCCTAAAGCTCTGTCAAAATACTGTGAACATACTTATTTGAACTCACTCAAATTTTAGTGCATTATCAAATTTGAACAAATAAGCACACTGATGAATTGGCGCACCCAAAAATATGCAATAAAGAATAATTTACAGGAACTTCAATTGACTCATTCATAATTTAGCGTAAAATGTAAGGCACAAAAAGCGCTAAAATAAGACAACCACTAAAATATGTATGCTACCAGTAACCAAATATTCTTTACAAAAAAAAGTTCTGCACAGATCTGTAAGAAGAAAAGTGATTGATTGCAACATCTAGATTTTGCCATCAGTCACTTTTCTTCTTACATTTCAACCAACAATAATTATTTTATCAACAACAACCTTTGTAAACAAATATTTAAATAACTATGGTCAAATAAATATTTTATACTTAACACCGGGTATTCAACCCTTCTGTTGGCAATGTCATTACACGAAAAGGTCTTGCAATGATTAAAAGGCTAAAGTATCCCACAATCCATTAAAAAGTGTGGTTTGTATTCATAACTGATAAAAATTTGCATGTTAATATGATGGAATACTTTCATAAAGATACGAACGTCTTTTTACATCCATTTCTGAAAAATGTCCCCTGAAAATCAGCCTGTTGGCATGGAAACCTCTTTAAATGATTATACACTACCATGATGATTTAATCATCAAATGCGATGATTTTTATTAAAATATGGATATCCTGATATCTCATTATATATTGAAGGACTAGATACAACAGATCGTCAAAATATTTATTAAATGACTTAGTTTTTCATTTTGTCCAAAGGAAACATATAAATATCTAAGAAAAACAAGAATTCCACGGGAGTGGATGTGTCGCCTGATGAGCACTTTTAGTAAGAAAAGTGTTTTGGCTTGAGTTATCATGTAAACAGATATGCCAAATGCAGAAAGTTGAAACTCAACAGAACAAGCAAGACCAGCATCGCCTCATTGGTATCCATAAAAAAAATCTTGAAAATGCAAGTTTGATCGGCCCAAGGAAACTCAAGTTATCGCACGAAAACAGATTTTCTATTTATAGTAACAGTGACCTTGACCTTTGACCTTCGGACCTGAAAAGCAATCCCATGCAAGCACTTTTGGTAAGGAAGCACTGCATGAAGTTTGAATTTGATCAGCCCAAGGGAACTTAAGTTATCGCACGAAACCCTCTGTGCAGACGCCGCCGCCGCCGCCGCCGCCGACATAGCAATACCTATGTGTCACCAGCTTTTCGCAGGCGACACAAAAATCATATGCAAAAGATCACTCTGTGTAATGTTCAGCAAATAACAGACATACAATATAGATATAAGATTTATAATGCCTTATTTATATAAACATACATTTCATTACCATGGTCCATTAGTCTCACACCAATCATCAACACAGGTGTACACCCAGGACCTTTACCACGGGCACCTGTAGTCTCACACCAATCATCAACACAGGTGTACACCTGGACCTTTACCACGGGCACCTGCAACACAATGAAACAATCTACAATCAGTTTCATTTCATTTGTGCTGCATGCTAATATCATTTGTAGCACATGTAATTTATTTGTGCCGCTTTTTTTTACATTTGTCGTTATGACGTCTGGCAGTAAATCTAGTACTGCAGTAGGTAAGGTTTTTGGAGTGCTGATTACACACACAGTGACAATTAGAGAACCTTTATCAATTACAGGGTGATCAATACTTTTTAGCAAGTCACATTTAAGGATAACATTAAATACTGAGGTAAGTAAGCAATTGTTTAAAAGTTACAAAAACACTGTTCACTTCCTATCACTTTGTCTACTGCCATACACTATTGTATCATTTCAATGTTTCCACCACATAATTATATCTTCCTGGTTATTATATAAAACACCTAAATCAATTAAATATAATATGATCACCGTTCATTAAAATACTTTCCTGTTGGTAGATGTATGCAGTATTGGGGTACATGATCCTCTACAACCAATTGCTTTTAGTCCTTGTACAATTGTGTCATAATAAAGATTTGTGAGGTATTACAACAGACTCTTCTTGCAAGTTAACATGAAGATTTATGTGTAATTTTTTTCTGTAAAATGTAAGTGATCTTCTATATGACTGCGGACAGATATTAAGGGCACAAAAATTCTTATAAAAATAGTCTTACCAAGCATGCTGCTAAGGAATGAACCGTAAGTAGCACTTCCTGTGACAACACCTCTGTTTGCGGGATTCCGGCGAACAGTCTTGATGTGGAAGGCAGTGTCATTGTCCATGTTTCCTGGACCCCATAACTCAACTTCCACGATGTGCCAGTCAGTGAGGCTGAGGAAAACAGGTACAGAAATTATATATATATATATATGTGTATGTGTGTACCTTAAAAAATGAGTAAGTCTGTAAGCCTGAGGAAAAAGAGGTAGGAGAATAATAGAATCTCTCACCCCCTTAGGGGTGAGATAGGGAAATCTCATTCCAAGGGGGATGATTCTTAAGTTGCCAAACACAAGGCTTTGCCGAGTGTTTGTCAATTTAAGAATCTTCCCCCTCGAGTTGAGGTTCTCCTATCTCACCCCCTTATTCTGTTAGTCTCACCCTAGGGTTGAGATGGGGGGATGATTCTTAAGTTGCCAAACACAAGGCTTTGCCGAGTGTTTGTCAACTTAAGAATCTTCCCCCTCGAGTTGAGGTTCTCCTATCTCACCCCCTTATTCTGTTAGCCTCACCCTAAGGTTGAGACAGGGGGATTCCCCTGTTCATAACAATGCATGATGTCACATTAACAATACAATGATGTCATGTCAACAATACAATGATGTCATGTCAACAATACAATGATGTCATGTCAACAATGCATTTAGCCTTTAATGTTAACATTACAATGACACACAATGGGTGAAAAGGGTAAAAGAAAAAGAATCATTCACCCCCTTGGGGGTGAGATAGGGAAATCTCAAGTTGCCAAACCACTTGGCGAACCCTTGTGTTTGGCAACTAAAGAATCTTCCCCTCGGGTTGAGATTCCCCTATCTCGCCCCCAAGGGAGTGAGAGATTCTATTAATCCATATATGAAAGTGAACCTTTCACTTCTCGGTATGTGCCAGTCTGTATGGTGGAGGAATAAATTGTTGAGTAATTGAACCTTCAATGACATATCAATTGTTTAAGGCTGCATAATAAATAGTAAGAGTATGTGTATCTTTAGCAATATGTGTTGGTCTGTAAATGGTAGACTTATTTATTAAGCAGTAACCAACCATAGTAAAATCAAACCATTACAGAATCAAACAAGAGATCCCAGAGGGATCTTGGCGCCCACCTTTGTACCATCTTCATTAGTTCTTTGACAGTTCGATCTTTTCTCTTCTTTCCTCTAATCTGTTTGATCGAGTCATGTTTACAGTAAATGCACCTTGAGGTAACTTTTGATCTAAACTTAATACTGATGTGTATGAAAGCCAACCTTCAAAGTGAGTTTGTCATTTCACATATTTACTAGTACAGTACTTAATGTGAAAGAAATAGAATCGATCATTGCAATATGAGAAAGATCTGTTTAGTTCTTCTTTTAATCCATTTTGTTTTTATGATCAGTCTCAAAATATAACATACACAACGAGGGATCAAGGGGAACCTACATTTAAAATTTGAGAAAGATCCCTCCCGTACTTCCCGAGAAATAGCGATAACAAACTTTCACTTTCAAAATCCAAGATGGCTGCCAGTCGGCCATGTTGTTTATCTGATCAGTCTCAAAACTTGCCCTGCACAGCTAAGGACTAAGGGAAACCAACATATAAAATTTGAGAAAGATCCATCTGATACTTCCCGAGAAATAGCGATAACAAACTTTCACTTTCAAAATCCAAGATGGCTGCCAGTCGGCCATGTTGTTTATCTGATCAGTCTCAAAACTTGCCCTGCACAGCTAAGGACTAAGGGAAACCAACATATAAAATTTGAGAAAGATCCATCTGATACTTCCCGAGAAATAGCGATAACAAACTTTCACTATCAAAATCCAAGATGGCTGCCAGTCGGCCATGTTGTTTATCTGATCAGTCTCAAAAGTTGCCCTGCACAGCTCAGGACCAAGGGAAACCAACATATAAAATTTGAGAAAGATTCCTCCAGTACTTCTTGAGAAATAGCGATAACAAACTTTCAATATCAAAATCCAAGATGGCTGCCTGTCGGCCCTGTTGTTTATCCGATTAGTCTCAAAAAATGCTCTGCACAGCTTAGGACCAAGGGGAACCTACATATTAAATTTGAGAAGATCCCTCTGGTCCTTCTTGTGAAATAGCGATAACAAACTTTCACTTTCAAAATCCAAGATGTCTGCCTGTCGGCCATGTTGTTTATCTGATCAGTCTCAAAACTTGCCCTGCACAGCTAAGGACTAAGGGAAACCAACATATAAAATTTGAGAAAGATCCATCTGATACTTCCCGAGAAATAGCGATAACAAACTTTCACTATCAAAATCCAAGATGGCTGCCAGTCGGCCATGTTGTTTATCTGATCAGTCTCAAAAAATGCCCTGCACAGCTAAGGACCAGGGGGAACCTACATATAAAATTTGGGAAAGATCCCTCCAGTACTTCTTGAGAAATAGCGATAACAAACTTTCACTATGAAAATCCAAGATGGCTGCCTGTCTGCCATGTTGTTTATCTGATCAGTCTATAAAATTGCCCTGTACAGCTAAGGACCAAGGGGAGCCTGCATATAAAATTTGAGAAAGATCCTTCTGGTACTTCTTGAGAAATAGCGATAACAAGAATTGTTTACGGACCGACGACAGACGACGGACCACGGATGGACCACGGACCACGGATGCAGGGTGATTTGAATAGCCCACCATCAGATGATGGTGGGCTAAAAAGATCTCAAGTACTAGTGTCAGTTACATTTACATCTGAGTCATTAACAGAATCTCTTGTTTGAAAACCTTCATTATACTGTCTATATATATGTAGGGGTACATGTGATGACGTACCTCGGATCTGCGACCAAGCGCCCGGTGACTTTGTCAAACCCCAAATTATGTGCTGCTGCTGCTGCCGCTGCCATTGTGTTGACATTATTAGGAGCAAGGGGACATAACCCTCTCACACTACCTACAACAAATTGGACATTCTCTTGAGCAACAGATAAAGGAAAGCATTAAAAGTTACATTTACATCTCCTCCACCAGCCCTTTTAATATAAATACTTTGGGAAGAAATTGCATTCATAAAGCTATGATGCTGTGAAATCAATGTCATTTTGATGCATCACCTCAACCTTACCCAAGAAATAAACATTAAGGTGACATAAGGCTGTTCCAGGTATATCATGTGTACTACACTAGTGACACTTCAATAACAACATCAGGTGATAAATGTATTCAATTAATAATTTATATCTAAGCATTGAACAGCATTTTATAATGTTCATGTTGGTATGAACACAAGTTGGAAATATACATATTTACCAGGAAGCCCTTGTTTGCTTCATTCATGCAGAATGGACATTTTTTTATTTTTTATTTAAGTCATTGCTTATATGGTAAGTCAACTTTCCAATCTTAACATACTGGCCAATGGTCTGTCAGTACTAAAAAGGAAGAGTTATTTCCCCTGTCCACTATCTTTACACATAGTGAACGATACTCTGTAAATGTAAGGAAGAGTTATTTCCCCTGTCCATTATCTTTACACATGGTGAACGGTACTCTGTAAATGTCAGGAAGAGTTATTTCCCCTGTCCACTATCTTTACACATAGTGAACGGTACTCTGTAAATGTCAGGAAGAGTTATTTCCCCTGTCCACTATCTTTACACATAGTGAACGGTACTCTGTAAATGTCAGGAAGAGTTATTTCCCCTGTCCACTATCTTTACACATAGTGAACGGTACTCTGTAAATGTCAGGAAGAGTTATTTCCCCTGTCCACTATCTTTACACATAGTGAACGGTACTCTGTAAATGTCAGGAAGAGTTATTTCCCCTGTCCACTATCTTTACACATAGTGAACGGTACTCTGTAAATGTCAGGAAGAGTTATTTCCCCTGTCCACTATCTTTACACATAGTGAACGGTACTCTGTAAATGTCAGGAAGAGTTATTTCCCCTGTCCACTATCTTTACACATAGTGAACGGTACTCTGTAAATGTCAGGAAGAGTTATTTCCCCTGTCCACTATCTTTACACATAGTGAACGGTACTCTGTAAATGTCAGGAAGAGTTATTTCCCCTGTCCACTATCTTTACACATAGTGAACGGTACTCTGTAAATGTCAGGAAGAGTTATTTCCCCTGTCCACTATCTTTACACATAGTGAACGGTACTCTGTAAATGTCAGGAAGAGTTATTTCCCCTGTCCACTATCTTTACACATAGTGAACGGTACTCTGTAAATGTCAGGAAGAGTTATTTCCCCTGTCCACTATCTTTACACATAGTGAACGGTACTCTGTAAATGTCAGGAAGAGTTATTTCCCCTGTCCAATATCTTTACACAAAGTGAACAGTACTCTGTAAATGTCAGGAAGAGTTATTTCCCCTGTCCATTATCTTTACACATAGTGAACGGTACTCTGTAAATGTAAGGAAGAGTTATTTCCCCTGTCCATTATCTTTACACATGGTGAACGGTACTCTGTAAATGTCAGGAAGAGTTATTTCCCCTATCCACTATCTTTACACATAGTGAACGGTACTCTGTAAATGTCAGGAAGAGCTATTTCCCCTGTCCACTATCTTTACACATAGTGAAAGGTACTCTGTAAATGTCAGGAAGAGTTATTTCCCCTGTCCATTATCTTTACACATAGTGAACGGTACTCTGTAAATGTCAGGAAGAGCTATTTCCCCTGTCCACTATCTTTACACATAGTGAACGGTTCTCTGTAAATGTCAGGAAGAGTTATTTCCCCTGTCCAATATCTTTACACATAGTGAACGGTACTCTGTAAATGTAAGGAAGAGTTATTTCCCCTGTCCACTATCTTTACACAAAGTGAACAATACTCTGTAAATGTCAGGAAGAGTTATTTCCCCTGTCCCCTATCTTTACACATAGTGAACGGTACTCTGTAAATGTAAGGAAGAGTTATTTCCCCTGTCCATTATCTTTACACATAGTGAACGGTACTCTGTAAATGTCAGGAAGAGCTATTTCCCCTGTCCACTATCTTTACACATAGTGAACGATACTCTGTAAATGTAAGGAAGAGTTATTTCCCCTGTCCACTATCTTTACACATAGTGAACGGTACTCTGTAAATGTAAGGAAGAGTTATTTCCCCTGTCCACTATCTTTACACAAAGTGAACAATACTCTGTAAATGTCAGGAAGAGTTATTTCCCCTATCCACTATCTTTACACATAGTGAACGGTACTCTGTAAATGTAAGGAAGAGTTATTTCCCCTGTCCATTATCTTTACACATAGTGAACGGTACTCTGTAAATGTCAGGAAGAGTTCTTTCCCCTGTCCACTATCTTTACACATAGTGAAAGGTACTCTGTAAATGTCAGGAAGAGTTATTTCCCCTGTCCATTATCTTTACACATGGTGAACGGTACTCTGTAAATGTCAGGAAGAGTTATTTCCCCTGTCCAATATCTTTACACATAGTGAACGGTACTCTGTAAATGTAAGGAAGAGTTATTTCCCCTGTCCATTATCTTTACACATGGTGAACGGTACTCTGTAAATGTCAGGAAGAGTTATTTCCCCTATCCACTATCTTTACACATAGTGAACGGTACTCTGTAAATGTAAGGAAGAGTTATTTCCCCTGTCCATTATCTTTACACATAGTGAACGGTACTCTGTAAATGTCAGGAAGAGCTATTTCCCCTGTCCACTATCTTTACACATAGTGAAAGGTACTCTGTAAATGTCAGGAAGAGTTATTTCCCCTATCCACTATCTTTACACATAGTGAACGGTACTCTGTAAATGTCAGGAAGAGTTATTTCCCCTGTCCCCTATCTTTACACATAGTGAACGGTACTCTGTAAATGTCAGGAAGAGCTATTTCCCCTGTCCACTATCTTTACACATAGTGAACGGTACTCTGTAAATGTCATTGAGATGGTAGGCCAATAAAGCCACTCTTGAATTATTGGTTGGACTAGAGTTTTCCATTTTATCAAATTTAGACAGACTTAGTGATTTGATGTTGTTTTCTGGCAAGCCTAGGCAAAGACTTTTAAGGCCTGCATTAACATTTGCAGGTCCATCTGGCTTCATATATGAAATATCACCTTTAAAAACAGATATTTTGGTTTGTTTGCATTTATAACCGACTCCTGGTCTCTATTCATGACCTACTCTTGTATGACCCTTCTTAATTTGTTTCAACCTTTGGTTGCATTCCCCTGCAATGAAAGTAGTCATTTCAAAGCAATCACTTGTCCATCTGTGATGCTAATTTCTTTTCTGATTTTCTGATTTTTTTTCTGTGAACATTGCATATCTTTCAAAATTTACCTCACTATAACAACACTTTTCATATAAAAATCATTGTCACTTAATTCATTAAATTTTGGTTTCATTGTTTGAATTCACAGGAACACACAGTTAGCAAACACACCTAAAACAATGGATCTATCAATGCATTATAGATAATTTCCTTTCTCAAAAATGTTACATAATATCTCTAATCAATCAATTTATGTTACACATGAATTGTCCTGCAAATTTTAAGCCCACTTATTATATATACAAGAGGCCAAAGGGCCTTAGCGGTCACCTGAGTTATATCATAGGTACTGGTAGCTTTATTTTATTGTTTAGATTTGATGTGGAAATCAGCATGTAAACTAAGTGAAATACAATACTTGTCATGTCATCAAAGGATAAGAATTTGAAAATATTGGTAAATGTTCCCTTTGGGGCCCCGCCCTAGCCCATGGAGATGGGGCAGGAATCCCAATTTTACAAAGGAATACTCTCATTCACCAAAGATGATTCTGACTAAGTTTGAGAAATTTTCTGCTGAAAATGGATAAAATATATACCCAAAAGTGTTATTTCCCTAAATAAACTATAGTAAACTTTACCCCCATCCCAAGGGAGACAGATAGCTAGGGGGTTCTGAAATTTACAATTTAAATAAAGCCCCTGTTGATTTTCTTTCCATGCAGAGAAAATGAGTGTAGTACCTCTGAGTCTGGAGAAGAAGTTTTTTGAAATATTGGTTAGTTTTCCCTTTGGGGCCCCGCCCTGGCCCCAGGGGTTGGGGTAGGAATCTCAATTTTACAATTTGAAACCATCTTCCTCCAAGAATAATTCTCACTAAGTAAAAGTAATTTCCTACAGAAAGTTGTCAAAATATATCCAAAAGTGTTATTTCATCGATATAAACTATAGTAAACTTTACCCCCTCCCCAAGGGAGAACGAATAGCTGGGGGACCTGTAATTTACAATTTAAGTAAAGCCCCTGATGATCTTTCTTTCCATGCAGAGAAAATGAGTGTAGTATCTCTGAGACTGAAGAAGAAGATTTTTGAAATATTGGTTAATTTTCCCTTTGGGGCTCCGCCCTGGCCCCAGGGGTTAGGGTAGGAATCCCAATTTTACAATTTGAAACCATCTTCCTCCAAGGATAATTCTCACCAAGTAAAAATAATTTCCTACAGAAAGTTGTCAAAATATACCCAAAAGTGTTATTTCCCTATATAAACTATAGTAAACTTTACCTGGCCCCAGGGGTTGGGGTAGGAATCCCAATTTTACAATTTTGTAGCCTCATCTACCAAGGATGATTCTGACCAAGTTTGAAAACAATCCATCCACTGGTTCTTGAGAAGAAGTTGAAAATGTTAAAAGTTTACGCACGACGGACCATGACGGACGAAAAGCGATTAGAATAGGTCACTTGAGCAAAGCTCAGGAGATCTAATAATGAGCCTACAAACAATACAACACAAATCTATAAAGTAAGCCAGTACCTTCATACAAGACAACAGGTTTGTCCGCAACTTTTTCATTCTTTGTCTTTAAATCCCCGTTCAGTTTGAAGCAGCTCGGATGTTTTGTCATTGTAACACTCAGTGCCTGCAACATTTCAAATTACACACCTTTATATCCACCATGCAGTAACCTTTTCCTGTCTACTAGACAAACAAGTCTACATTCTGGTTGTGCTTGACCCAGGTTTCGGACAGCTGGTGAGAGAGGATCAGCAACAATGATTTAATGTTACGTATACACTTCAAGCACAAAGTGAATGCTAAATGCAATGCCGTTTGTCAAAAAGCAGCAACAAATTGAATATGTCATTCCTATGTGATGTCGACAGATCTAGAGAAAATCTTTACACTCAGGATAAAATATTTGAGAATCCAGACCTTGGCAAAGCCTTATGCTTGAGAAACAAATAGCTTACCCTAAGATTTCCCTGTCAAATCAACAAGCTGATAGATCTATTACATTATCTTAATCCACAAAATTAAAACCAAAAGCAGTCATTATCTGAATTGTTCAGACCAGCAATAGCATATTTGTGTATATAACACGACAAACGTAACAAAAAATACTTCCTTTCCACACTTTAATGAATTATGGATTTAAAACTACCTGTAATGTTCCGCGGTCAGCCATTTTTTTTATGTCCTCTCCACCCCAAAATGCTCCTGTCGGAATATACAGACCATGAGATCCTGCCGAACTCCTTAAATCAGTGTCCAGGGCAGCATCACTCAGGGCAGTTGGGGAGCCGATCTATCCATGATTAAATTTGATCAACATTTATAAGTCATTGATTTTAAAACAAAATTTTAAGACAGAAATATGTATTACATTCTATGAAATTAGCATAATCTATTGAGAGAACAAGACGGATTTAATAAATAGCTACTGGGTTGTAATTGTATTTATAACAGATAGCGAAATGAAACACATACATATATTCTATTTTTGTAAGGAAGTTGTTACCATGTAATCTGCCATAGCAAGGAACTTGGCTCCCCATTGCTTAGTAATGAGTGGGTGGGCTACTTCTACAATCAAATCTGCTTTCCTGAAAAGATTAAACAAATATTAAAAAACAAAAATAACCAGTTATTTATTTTAAATACTTCATTGTTAATCATACGGTATTGATTCACAATCTTTAAAAAAGTAGCCAGCAAAACCTGACAGTGAATGACTGAGCTAGGAATTTTAATATTAACACAGAGCTTCAATTTTGTTTTCAATATCCTTTCCTTGTCAAAAGATCCTACTGTAGTTACAGTTACCTGGAAGGAAAATCTGCGAGATTTTCCAGAACAGCTTCCTTATTTTGAAGGCCATCTAAAGCTGACACAGTTCTATTCCATACAAAAGCTAATTCAAGAGAAGCATGCTCCTCAATCTGCTGTACCAGATATTGCCCTGAAGAAAATGGATTCAACATAAATGTTATTATGCGATATTCACCACAGCTATATATCAAGAAATAAGAACTAATGATGCAAAGACTAAGGCAGGTCAAAGGTCAACTGTCAATGTAACTACATTATTTGTAGCGTAAGTTTGTTTTTTTTTAAATATTAATTAATCTGTTTACATTTAATAGAATATATACAACCAGAAGTGCAGCTGAGATATTCAGCAAAAAATACTGGTATAGTACAATCTTGACAGTTGTATAACAATATGTACAGGTGTTGTACATTCTGTTAACCAATATATATACAGGTGTTGTACATTCTTTTAACCAATATATATACAGGTGTTGTACGATCTTCTCACCAATATATATACAGGTGTTGTACATTCTGTTAACCAATATATACAGGTGTTGTACAATCTGTTAACCAATATATATAGAGGTGTTGTACATTCTGTTAACCAATATATACAGGTGTTGTACATTCTGTTAACCAATATATATACAGGTGTTGTACATTCTTTTAACCAATATATATACAGGTGTTGTACAATCTTCTCACCAATATATACAGATGTTGTACGATCTTCTCACCAATATATATACAGGTATTGTACATTCTGTTAACCAATATATACAGGTGTTGTACAATCTGTTAACCAATATATACAGGTGTGGTATAATCTGTTAACCAATATGTACAGGTGTTGTACATTGTGTTAACCAATATATACAGGTGTTGTATAATCTGTTAACCAATATATACAGGTGTTGTACATTCTGTTAAGCAATATATACAGGTGTTGTACAGTCTGTTCACCAATATATATACAGGTGTTGTACAGTCTGTTCACCAATATATACAGGTGTTGTACAATCTGTTCACCAATATATACAGGTGTTGTACAATCTGTTCACCAATATATACAGGTGTTGTACATTCTTTTCACCAATATATACAGGTGTTGTACATTCTTTTCACCAATATAAAAAGGTGTTGTACAATCTGTTCACCAATATATACAGGTGTTGTACATTCTGTTAACCAATATATACAGGTGTTGCACAGTCTGTTAACCAATATATACAGGTGTTGTATAATCTTTTCACCAATATATACAGGTGTTGTACAGTCTGTTCGCCAATATATATACAGGTGTTGAACAGTCTGTTCACCAATATATACGGGTGTTGTACATTCTGTTAACCATTATATATAGGTGTTGTACATTCTGTTCACCAATATAAACAGGTGTTGTACATTCTTTTCACCAATATATATCCAGGTGTTGTACAATCTGTTAACCAATATATACAGGTGTTGTACAGTCTGTTAACCAATATATACAGGTGTTGTACATTCTGTTCACCAATATATACAGGTGTTGTACCGTCTGTTAACCAATATATACAGGTGTTGTACGGTCTGTTAACCAATATATACAGGTGTTGCACAGTCTGTTAACCAATTTATACAGGTGTTGTATAATCTTTTCACCAATATATACAGGTGTTGTACAGTCTGTTCGCCAATATATATACAGGTGTTGAAAAGTCTGTTCACCAATATATACGGGTGTTGTACATTCTGTTAACCATTATATACAGGTGTTGTACATTCTGTTCACCAATATAAACATGTGTTGTACAATTTGTTTACCAATATATACTGGTGTTGTACATTCTTTTCACCGATATATATACAGGTGTTGTACAATCTGTTAACCAATATATACAGGTGTTGTACATTCCGGTAACCAATATATACAGGTGTTGTACATTCTTTTCACCAATATATACAGGTGTTGTACAATCTTTTCACCAATATATTCAGGTGTTCTACATTCTTTTCACCAATATATACAGGTGTTGTACAGTCTGTTAACCAATATATACAGGTGGTGTACATTCTGTTCACCAATATATACAGGTGTTGTACAGTATGTTAACCAATATATACAGGTGTTGTACATTCCGGTAACCAATATATTTAACCAATATATATACAGGTGTTGTACAATCTTTGCACCAATATATTCAGGTGTTCTACATTCTTTTCAACAATATATACAGGTGTTGTACAGGTTGTACATTCTGTTAACCAATATATACAGGTGTTGTATTCTGTTAACCAATATATATACAGGTGTTGTACAATCTTTGCACCAATATATTCAGGTGTTCTACATTCTTTTCACCAATATATACAGGCGTTGTACAGTATGTTAACCAATATATACAGATGTTGTACAGTCTGTTAACCAATATATACAGGTGTTGTACAGTCTGTTAACCAATATATACAGATGGTGTACATTCTGTTCACCAATATATACAGGTGTTGTACAGTATGTTAACCAATATATACAGGTGTTGTACGGTCTGTTAACCAATATATACAGGTGTTGTACAGTCTGTTAACCAATATATACAGATGTACAATCTGCAAAGTGTTTGCCAGTATTTATACAGGTATATAGCGATGTGATTGGAAATTGTTAAAATGATTTCCCTTTAGCTCATCAGTAGTGCATCGGGCTGGAGAGCCAACTGTCGTGGGTTCGAACGTATTCATAACACGTCTTTAGTTCGTGACAATAAGTTAAAGTTATATTTCTTACCTAAATTTCCATACCCCACCACTCCTACGCGCATTTCTTCTGCAGAAAATGTTATTTTAATAAAGGGTAACTTTTTGGTTTTGTAAAGTGCTTTTTCAGTCCAATCCCGGAAGAAGCTTGTTGGTTCCTAATGGAAAGAAACGAAAATATTATTTTCCGGATCAATCCATGGCCCCTTTTGCGTATCCGGGATCCGCCGGTGCAACCGGTTTGCCTGTTTTTTAATGTAACATTTTTGGGTATATACAGGCGATGGTAAATTTTAACGGGCTAGTAAATCTTCACATTTGTTTTTATGATGATCATATATTTGTCGCAAAATGCAAAAGTCAGAGGACATTAGTTAATAGTTGATAGAATAAGGACTGATATAATATTGTGAGTTTGCCTTATTTGTTTAAGTGTTTGCCTTTTTTTAGGACTTTAAGTTGTTGATGCGGCCCTTGTTTGTCACACGTCTTTTCAAAACTTATAACTTAGAAACACACGCTCACGGTTATTAATAAACTGTTTAGCAAAGAATAAGAAAGCAATCAAAACACTTCAAGGTATTACTGAGAAACGTACATTCTTTTCAACGCCCAAAATACAAAGGGGCTCGAAGCTCACTTCGGGACGGAAAGAAGTTTTTTAATTAATCATGCATTTTTAACCAAACAATTTTAAAAACAATAATAATAACGCACAGGTTTTTTTTATCACCACGACCACAATATATTATAACCAGAGACATATTAGATATAGTATGTATTTCTCTGTTTATGGTCAGCCACTGGTCAACAATGATACGGTCTAGTTACTGTCATATAATGGTCATACTCTGTCTAGTTACAGTGGGTAACTTTGCTCTTCTTTAGGAAAATATTGATAGTAAAGAACTCCTTGGTAAAATAAAACAAAAATCAAACAATGCATTCGTTTTATTAGTACCGGTACAGCAAGGCATACAACAATATATCTGAAAATAAATAACACAAAACGTTAATTAATGTAACCAGGGACGTATAATGAAGCCCCGGATGTAACAAAATATTTTTATTTTAAGTTTGTCTAATGATAAAGCAGTATATATTGAGAATGTTTTGATAGTGCTATACATGTACATGATTTTGACTGATTCGAAGGATAAAATATGTACATACATGTAACTGGTTTTTTTTAATCGGTCACGTCTTTTGGACCGCTATCTTTGGACTAAGGATAGGGTACACGATAGGGAATTTTAAGTTAATGTATTTATTTTGTAATTATTTTTTCTTGTCGAAAATGTTGCCGGTAAGCAACATGCATGCAGTAGACGTCTCAGTCAAAAAGGTAAATTATGTATGACTAACCAGAGACGTATAAAGATCTGCGCGAGTTGCCAATCTCTGTGTTATATAAATCTCTGGACTAACAACAGACTTCATCTTCATCTGTTAGACTTCCTCCGTCGACACCGACGATTACGGAAGTAGGGTCAGTGTGCTATTGTGCGTTAATTATGTACAGTGATTTTTTTTTGATTTTTTTTTTTTTTTTTGTTATTTGCTATAGGATAAAAACAGGTTAAAAGCAGTGAGTGAGTTAGTTATGTTGTAGTTTTTGTATATGTTCGATTATGTTGTATGTGGTGCATGTTCTGAATTCTGCTGGTGTATTTGATTGAATTATTGTTGTGGGAAGGAGGTTCCATTGTAATATGGTGTATGGAAAGAATGAGTGTCTGTATGTGTCTTTGGATGTGTAGATATGTCTGTAACTACGGTCGTGTCCTTGACGTGTTCTGGTGTCTGCCGGGATGAGATTGTTAGTGTGTATTGCTACTTGTTGGTTTATTATTTTGTAGAGAAGAATAATGCGTGTTCTTGTTCTGCGTGTGTGTAGTGTTGGCCATTGCAAGTTATGTATCATGTCTGTGACGGAGCTTGTGTTATGGTATTTGTTTAGGACATACCGTGCTGCTCTTCGTTGTACTTTTTCAAATTGGTTTATGTTATTTGTATAATGTGGGTCCCAAACTGAAGAGCAGTATTCGAGTTTTGGTCTTACAATGGCCTTGCATGCATGCTCTTTTATGTGTGTTGAATTTATGAAAATAACATAAACAGAAGAAAACAAGTTTCTTCAGAATTGGATATATAAAAATAGTATTTATTGGTCAGTAATTTTTCCCCCAACAAATTAGAATTAAATATTCCTAATGTTTTGAGATATATTTTTTCTAACCTGGGTTAATAAGGACATCCCTGTGGAATTTCTTCTTGTTTTAATTACTATTATTTTTTGCCTTTAATGTGATTTATTTACTTTTAAATATTGATAGCTTTGTCTGGACCGTATGTCACGTGTAAACCATCCTAAAATCCTTTCAAATATCAAAAAACCTTCAATTTTGACTCTAACAAAGTAATTAGAGGCTTCAGAATAGCACAAATGATTCAATACTATGATATATGCTGTATAATTTATGTTTTAAATGTCTCACGATTTCAGAGAAAAAATCCCACTATTTTTGACCAAATCTCACTGATCTCACTATTTTGCACAGGAAAGGTATGGCATGTATGAAAATAGTTCCCCAACGAAATATTACCATCTTACTGTGGAATATTATGATTAAAACATGAATGCCGATATTTATTCATTATTAAGTTAACCAGATTATTTAAATATGATTTGGCTTTTCATTACAACGTTCTATGTGAGCCTCGTTCCCAGGCATTGTGTAAGTTAACCTGAAGGATTCGATCGATGCTTCTGGATGGTATCCTTCGTGTTCAACGACACTGCAGTGGTTACGAAACGAGGTTGCCTGATAAAAATAGTTCCCCAACGAAATATTAATACACATCTAAATACTTTCAGTGGCTTACAAACGCATAAATAAACGAAATAAATAAAGATTGTACATTAAGATATAATGAAATTATCTTTTATTCAAAAGGTAATAATTAAGAGTATTGGAAATAGTATGTTACAATTTGACAAAGAACTATATCTTATCATAACGGAAGTCGTAGGGCTGTGGCTATGTTGTAAGTTACTGTACATACTTCAGGTGCCCGATCCAATGTTATCGGTGGAAAATTAACCGAAGTCTATGAACTTACGATCAATTTGTACAGCTGTAGTGATCTATGGTAGTTTGAAGACTCAATATTCATAAATATCCAAGGACATAATTGAAAAACCGCTATGGCACGGCTTGTAGGTGTTTGCAAAACGGACGACTATCAGTTTCTTCGTCGACAACTTCCCATAACTGTGGACGATGACTTGAAGGTATAAACAACAGCTGATTAATTCTTTATGTTTCTCTTCTGTGTGATTTAACATTGTATCATGACATATAAAGATGACATGTATTTCAACTAATATATGCTATATACCCTGGGTTCCGAGTTCAATAGGTCAATATTAAATGACACGATACCGATGACCTCCAATGTCAAAATGCTAGTTACACGGTCTAAATCCTTTCAATCTTAATAACGAAAGGACTTGACTTTTCCATGCATTTCCTATTAACTCCACTTATATTGATACCATAGCCACAGTATTGCCATTTACTTGTTAGTCCTAGGTCTGGTCATGCAATAGTTTGTATTGTAATCGAGTTTCAAATTGTCTAGAATCCAGTTTTCGAGAACATTTTGTGCTCAGCAGTGATCAGATATGTGCATAGAATGCACCGAACATAGATGTATTCATGAAAAGATCACTCTGAGTGAATATTAGGGCTGGAACCATAGGTGCTCAGGTTCTGAAATATATGTGATATATTATCGCACCCCTTTATACTACTACTGATAATAATATACAACATTTATAGAGCGCCCAATAAAATTTGTAAAATTACTCTCAAGCGCTTTACAACATATGGATAATAGTAATGGTTATAATTGTGAAAACAAAAAACAAAGGCTTACAATCACTTTTATACATTTAAGCAAGCAATGTGCACATAATTGAACAAATAAAAGGGTGGTATTTACATGATGTCCTTGCAAAGATTCTAAAATGCAGACGTAGAGAGGTGAGTTTTGATGTCCCTCTTGAAGTTGGCCAGGGTATTTGACTTTCTAATAGCAGATGGTAAGCTATTCCACAACGTAGCCGAAAACCTCCCAAAGCATCTGTTTCCGTAGGTCACAATACAAGATTTTGGGACACACAACAAAGATTCTGACTCCGACAGCAGTGATCGTGACGGCTGATACAGGGTAACAAGCTCCTGTAGGTACTGAGGACCTGTTCCATTCAGTGCCTTGTATGTGTACACCAGAATTTTGTACTGCGACCTGTATCATACAGGTAACCAGTGTAACGAATAAAGCACAGGTGTGATGTGCTCTTTCTTTCGACTACGAGTAACTAGCTGTGCTGCAGTGTTCTGGACCCTCTGCAGACGACCTAGTTAGTTTGTCAGATATACCACAGAGCAGGGCGTTACCATAATCCAACCGAGAGGTAATAAGTGAATGCACCAAAATCTTGCATGCATCTGCAGTTAAAATCTGCCAAATACAGCTGATGTTCCTGATCTAGTAATAACAGGATTTGGCAATAGCATTCACTTGTTTCTCCATGTTCAGTGAACTATCAAAACATACCCCTAGGTTTTTAACAGCTGGAACAGTCTCAATAGTTCTGGCACAACCTTGAACTGGAGAGCCATTGTTTGCTGGCACTTTGGGGAAAAGACAATTAGTTCCGTCTTTTCCTGATTAGCATAAGCATGTTGGCGTTCATCAAGATACTGATATCTGTCAGACAATGCAAACTTCCAGACTTTCTGAGACTGTATTTGAACTGTCCTGTGGTTTGATGACCATGTAAATTTGTGTGTCATCGGCATAGCAATGATGGCGAAGGCTATGGCGACGACAAATCTCTCCAATCGGTTTGGAGTACATACGATATTTTCGTGGTCCTAATACCGACACTTGAGGAACCCCGAAAACTAGTGATCATGATTTTATTAGTAAAAAGGGGGTGCAATGTCTAGTGGGTGCAATAATATGTTGCATATATTCCAGAACCCGAACACCTGTGGCTGGAACGGGTAACCGAGTATCCAGGTTTGTTCAGTTCGGTTCGATTAACTTATTAGTACCATCTGTTTAGCAAATCTACTACCCAAAAACCATCCAAAATTGTAGGTCAACATTTAATGATTTTCCCAGTCAGAATGTCGCTCCTGACTGTTTGACAAACCTCGAAAAACACTCCTGATCAGTATACTTGCCGTACCATTGAGTGCATTTATACGATAATTTTGAATGACATAATTATTAATATTGACTGACATTCTGCAGAACAATATAACTTATCATTCGTTTGTGTTCCTACAGGAAGTGATAACCAGAAATATGTGCACATAGCATTGACAACACACCACTGTAAAGTGAAACCACGAAAATTTACCTTTCAGGGGCTAGCGATATTTAGCCAATTCATAATGATTTTTAGAATCTGCAACGTTTTACAGCATTATTTACAAGGAATAGGTTATCTTTGTTCGTGCATTTAGTGAATTGAGTTATTATATTATATTTTTACCAAAGTAAAGGGCTGTATTTATTGGCACAAAAAAAACACGGTTACCCAGTTTCGTCTAGTTAATTAAGCACACACGGTTATCCAACTTGCATTATTTCTAACTGTTGCAGCCCTAGTGATTATTTAAACCACTGATCATGGAAAGCCAATCTACATTTTGTATGAAAAGAAGCAAAAAATTGAATTGACAAGTAACCTTTTAATAGTAAATAACTTGCTCGGTACCACTGAAAGTATCAGAGGTGTACAATTCAAAGTTAAGGTACTGATAGGTATATATATCAATTTGTATAATACATAATGTAAAATCGATAGATTTACCAAGGATCTGGAATAAGTAGAATCTGTCACTCCTGTGTGATGAGAAATCACAACTCAAATGTAGGATTGTTGAAGTATAGCAAGAGGCTTTGCCAAGAACTTTACTAACTAATCTTATCCTGAGGTTTGAAATTTCTGTGTTCTGTATCACACAGGAGAGATCACATTATTTTCCCTCCCCACTTTGCTTCTTAACATAAAAATAATTCCTGATAGTGTATCCGCCAATGCACCATGCCATCTTCAGGAGTGCATGAAATGTGTGACGAAAATTATGACACTACCCAGCTGGTGACACTGCATTCTAATATTTTCTTAACTGTTACAGCTATGAAATCCTGTAGCATAAAATAGCAATCTTGTTCAAAGTTGCTGACAGTAACTTAAGTTTTTGTTGGGGTTTAACTTGGTAATTGTACCAGATCTGGATTGGGTCTGTTTATCCTGGTGCACATGCATATATATAGCGGTTGAAGTTCTAAATAACTCAGTTTTTTAGAATAAAAACTAAAAATAAAGATAGGGATCATAACTGGGTCAATATATTGTTGGTGATTAGGTCACATCATACAAACTTGACAAGCATATATTGATATTTTTATAACTTCACAAACATGAATATTTTCATAACTTGACAGACATGGATATTTTTATGAGAAGTCCCAGAAAACAATTTTGCAAATTTGAATCATGAGTCACATTATAGAGGATCCTTGAATGGGAAGAATTAAAAAAAGTTCCAGCAAAAAAAGGAGGATGAGTCCAGGAGAACTCAGAACTGCTCTGATGCTTTGAATATTTCACAGACAAATCTTTATAACTGATGATGATGATTTACACAGAAAATATATGGCATATACCAGTTGTGTCAAAGTGTAGTTGAATTAGCATGGTAATTGCAATTACTAGGTAAAAGCATAAAACCAATACAACTGGATATTTATGGTCATCCTTTGTAGCTATGTGCGTCCACACCTGTGTACAGCTTTTGTTGTTGTTTATACTGTAGGATCCTACATTTCTTACCCAGAGCTCTTAGATCTACACATGTACACCTTACATATACACCAGCTGAAACTGCAGTATTGATTTCTTTGCTAGACTATAGATAGCTATTCACTAGGCTCAGCTTTTGGTCCAATTTTAAAGAAGGTAGACTAGTTGCCTTTTTTTGTTCTGAGAAACCTTTTTTTTTAGTTTCCCTGCTCAAGGGTAAAAAAATATTGTAAAAATGCATCTGCTGATCAAGATTAAAATTAAATATATAATATAATTACAGGAAATAGCATATATACCCGATACATACTGCCAAAAATGTGATCCTTGCAATTAGGACTCTACTTTGAAAATATATATATTATTGTAATTACTACTATTTTTAATATTATCATTAAATTATGTTTTCCTGATGTTTAGAATTGGAGTTAACCATTTCATTCTGGTGATTGTGTGAAATTGGGTCATTGTTACACATGGATATAACAGAAACTCTCTGTCTTTCAGATGGTGATCCAGTTTAACGATACATGTGTGGACTGTGAGAGTGCCCGTGGGATCAAACAGAAGGAGCTGGAACTGTTCGTCCAGCGGTTTAGTGCCCTGACTAAAGACGAGATCGCTGTTGAGATGATGGTGTCTAGCAAAAATATCATGAATTTGCTTACACATCTTGTGCCTTGTGTTGGGTGTCGAAGGAGGTATGTAATGTATAGTTATTTATAATTAACATCTATTGTTATTATCAAAATGTAATTCAGCATTTCCCCGATTGTTCTAGAATTCAAGGTTCATTGTGTATATAACAAGATGCAATTCATTAATATTAAGCACAAGTTAAAATATAACAAGCAATTATATAATTGATAATTATTTAAACACAGCATTCAAACTTAGTATAGCAAGGGAGACTACTCTGTTGTTACTGGTATATTTTTATATTAGATATTGTAGCTGGTCTGATTTTTAGGCTAGATATTGCAGATAGGTTTGAATATAAGTTATTACATGAATGAGATGCATTATTTTAATTTGATGTTTAACTAGCCATTTCTTACAATTAAGAACAATGCTATTACTCTTGTTTTAGTGTGGAGAGAATGTTTCATCAGCTGGTCGACTCGCAGCATCCTGCCCTTGAACCACTGATAGTTACACAGAGGGCTGAGCTATCCATCAATCGTGATAACCTGTTTGATCCCCGTTCTTTGTATGCATTATTTAACATACACAGGTAAGCATTATTTAAAATATATACAGGTAAGCATTATGTATAATATATGCAAGTAAGCATTATAAAACATAATGATATACATAGGTAAGCATTATTTAATATCTAATCAGGTAAGCATTATTAAACATATACATAGGTAAGCATTATTTGACACTCAGTAATCATGGCTACTATAATTTACTAGCACTCTTGCAATAAGTTGGTCATTGATTTGGAATGTGTTTATTTGTTAGTTGTAAATGATATGCATATGTATCACTCCAGAAAAAAACCCATCTTGATTAGACTTCAAAAAAATATTTCAAGATTGTGTGTCACATTTTGTACACTCCTGAATGATTGAAAATCACTATAATACCAACTTTGTGTAACCTTTCTATAATGCGAACTTTCAGTGAAAAAAGGACATCCTGAGAGCTTGAGTAGCTATTATTGGATTGTTTATCTTACCTAGATTTTACCAGTAGCTGTTAACACTAAACTTGTTAGGCGATGGTTGTCACATCTCGGTCAGCACAGTTCTTGTGATAAATAACTTGTCATAATATACAGTACTTATATACAGACAATTCAGTTAAAGCACTCATGGAAATCTAGTTAAATGCACATCTGTCTTTTTTCTGAAGTTTGATAGAAATGAAAAACATTGTTAATTTTCTGAAAGTATATCAGATTAAGTAACTGCTTAGGTAATAAGCTTGCGCTATACATATATAAATGTAATATACTAGGATACGTGTGGTGGTAAGAGAGTGGGATGATTTCGGACCAAACATTGTGATTTCAAGGATTCAAAGTACTTCATTGTCGTTATGAGTGGACTGAATAAATTCCCATTTCTATATACACTAGGCTCTATCTGTTTTTCATAATGTTCATTTACAGAGCCAAACTAAATTCCATAATGGAGTCAATTCCAAAAAGTAAGAAGAACAAGCGTTGCAACCTACATTCGTTAGACACACACAAGCCTCGTACAACAGGGTAAGTTTGACTATACAGATGAGTTGTGTATTTTGTTTCCTTTGTATGTGTTTTCTATAAGTTGATTAAAATAAGTTAGCAGAAGAAAAAAATAGTAATGTGAGAAAAACGATGAATTAAAAAAGTATATCAATGATTTTGCTGGGCTCAGAATCATTCGAGACAGTTTCCACTTTCATGAAGTTTTAAAAAGATACTTGGTAAGGTCATGAAAGATGTTTTTATATGAATAAGAAATTTAGCTAAATACTAAGTAGGTAAAGTTGGTAAATGCAACCAAGCAAAAATCAATTAATTCCCTGGTCCTTAAAAATATCTTGGAGATTTTGGGAAGAGCATTATTTGTGTTGTAATACATCATATTCATTGAAATATGTAGTGATTATGGCAAATTTGCTGAAGAAATGATAACAATAAGACTTATTGTAATCTTTATTTGATATGATTATTATACCGGTACTATAAATTCAAATTGGTAACTGATATTAAGCATGCTGTCAGAATTTTAAGGAATCCAACGACAGGCATAAATATGTGGGTGATAAGCTATAAGTTGTACCCTGTGTGTCAGTAACACACTGTGGAGACCTCATCACAGTCATCTGAGATTGCCTTAAGATTAACAAACTCTGCACTGTTGGAGTATAACTAAGCCAGTTACTGAGATCCTGTAGTAAAAGGAGAAAAATGAATCCAGCATTTTACTTCATGATACAGAGTTTGTAAATGAATGTCATTTTATAAGATATAAATTAACAATTACAGGTTTTCTAGTCATTTCCTGTGGGTCTGGGTTCCTTGATTTGGAAGGAAGATATTAATTAAAATATTAAGACATTGAAGGCAGTTTTAAAGATTGTACTTATAAGAGATGATTTAATATGAAAATATCATAATTCAGTAATGTGCATGGTAAATAAATATTTATTACTATATTTAAGAGAAACTAATTTTCAAGAAAAAAAAATTATGATGATTTTTCAAACATGAAATTAACCTTGTCAATCATTTTTGCAGGAGCTGGATTGAAATCTGGGACTTACTAGCTCAGGAGTGTCGAGAAGAAGTAGTTTTAATTGATGCAGATAGCCTATCAGATACCCTCGAAGCTTACCTCAGAAAACACAGGTATATAGAGGCTCTGCATTTGTTAATGTTTGGGTTATCCAAAAGTGTTACTGAGTTTCTTGATAACAAAAATAAAATTACTCAAACAATGGTTGACAAATATTGATAGATAGTTCACCCCTAGCCACTACAGTTCCTCAATTGTTAGTCTATGTATATCTTTGTAAACTATTTAACAAGCACCTCACAAATATAAGTAGGTAATTAACTCATAAACACATTGTTTCCTCATTCCTAGTGCATCAAACAAATGAAAACATTGGTTGTGGGGAACAACTTTGTATTAAATCTTGTTTGAAATTTTTCCTGTAGGTTTTGTTCTGAATGCAAGTCCAAAGTTCAGCGTGCATATAATATCCTGGTAGAGGATCTGGACTGTACAAAAGAGGTGGGTTACTGTGCTGCACTATACGAGGGCCTCCGCTGTTGTCCGCACGAGAGACACATCCATATGTTGTGTGATACTGACTTCATAGCCCACCTCATTGGCAGGGCAGAGCCAGAACTAGCGGGAGGGTAAGTGCTACAGGGCACACATAGTATACAGTACTAAATCAGAATTCAAAATACTCCAGATTTACAGTTTTCTGTAAATATACTCCGAAATGTACTCCTGATATTTCTGGTTTAAATATGATGCATAAAAGTCTTTTTGAATTTTTTATTAATTCATTAAAGTTATGAAACAATTGAGGCAATAAGGAGGTTCACATATTAAGCACATAAACAATTTCATATCTTAAGCAAGAATTGATGCGATGCTTCTTAAGGTTTGCTACAAACAAAACAAATTGTGAGTTAACTGCAGTAAAGAACTAAAACATTGAAATAAGACTTTAAAAGAATCAAAGTTTTAGAGTTAATTGATCTTATTATCAAAAGAATTAAGTATTACACTGTGTCATGATGATGAATTGTACAATGATTAACAAAGACAACTGGGACACATTACAGGAGCAGGAGAGACCGTCATGCTAAGACTTTGGACATTGCCCAGGAAGAAGTGCTGACATGTTTGGGGATTCATATTTATGATCGCCTCCATCGTATCTGGCAAAAGCTGAAGGCGGAGGAACAAACCTGGCAGATCCTGTTCTACCTCGGAGTTGATGCCTTGAAGAAAAGCTTTGAGGTGACACAGCCTGTTTAGTCGCTGTTAGTGGCTAATGTACATACACAATAGAACTGAAACATTTTTGTTTGATGTTAGTTTGTTTTGTAAAGAAAGTAATTTTGGGGTAAGAGCTTATTAAAAGTGCCAATAATTAGGGTAAATAAGATCAAGATCTAGCAAAATAAATAAATCTTTATCTGTGTTACTTCAGATTTTTTGAAATTTGAAAACTATGAAATATGAAGTATATTGGTCAGTGTCTTTAAATTAATCATATTTTAAATTTAGCAACGAGCTTGACATATCAGTTGTTCCTTAGTACTTGCCGAAAGGTGTATATGAGATACATTTTATACATGTAGAATATATTTTACAGATGGCTCTAGAAAGAAAACAAGGAATTTCTAACCTGGAGCTTATGTGTGAGGAGATTTTAGAGGAAGAGAGAGCCAAAGAACAAAAACGAGAACAAAAACGACAGAAGAGGAAAAAGAAGAAGGCTAAGTCAAACCAGCTGGTGCTGGAGAAGGAGAATTGTGCCGAGGATCCAGAGGAGGAAACACACTGTGAAGTATGTTAACACTCTTAAACTGTGTATAGTCGGGTCAGTGATTGATAAACTGTTTATAGTCAGGTCAGTGATTGATAAACTGTGTATAGTCGGGTCAGTGATTGATAAACTGTTTATAGTCAGGTCAGTGATTGATAAACTGTGTATAGTCGGGTCAGTGATTGATAAACTGTTTATAGTCAGGTCAGTGATTGATAAACTGTGTATAGTCGGGTCAGTGATTGATAAACTGTTTATAGTCAGGTCAGTGATTGATAAACTGTGTATAGTCGGGTCAGTGATTGATAAACTGTTTATAGTCAGGTCAGTGATTGATAAACTGTGTATAGTCGGGTCAGTGATTGATAAACTGTTTATAGTCAGGTCAGTGATTGATAAACTGTGTATAGTCGGGTCAGTGATTGATAAACTGTTTATAGTCAGGTCAGTGATTGATAAACTGTGTATAGTCGGGTCAGTGATTGATAAACTGTTTATAGTCAGGTCAGTGATTGATAAACTGTGTATAGTCGGGTCAGTGATTGATAAACTGTTTATAGTCAGGTCAGTGATTGATAAACTGTGTATAGTCGGGTCAGTGATTGATAAACTGTTTATAGTCAGGTCAGTGATTGATAAACTGTGTATAGTCGGGTCAGTGATTGATAAACTGTTTATAGTCAGGTCAGTGATTGATAAACTGTGTATAGTCGGGTCAGTGATTGATAAACTGTTTATAGTCAGGTCAGTGATTGATAAACTGTGTATAGTCGGGTCAGTGATTGATAAACTGTTTATAGTCAGGTCAGTGATTGATAAACTGTGTATAGTCGGGTCAGTGATTGATAAACTGTTTATAGTCAGGTCAGTGATTGATAAACTGTGTATAGTCGGGTCAGTGATTGATAAACTGTTTATAGTCAGGTCAGTGATTGATAAACTGTGTATAGTCGGGTCAGTGATTGATAAACTGTTTATAGTCAGGTCAGTGATTGATAAACTGTGTATAGTCGGGTCAGTGATTGATAAACTGTTTATAGTCAGGTCAGTGATTGATAAACTGTGTATAGTCGGGTCAGTGATTGATAAACTGTTTATAGTCAGGTCAGTGATTGATAAACTGTGTATAGTCGGGTCAGTGATTGATAAACTGTTTATAGTCAGGTCAGTGATTGATAAACTGTGTATAGTCGGGTCAGTGATTGATAAACTGTTTATAGTCAGGTCAGTGATTGATAAACTGTGTATAGTCGGGTCAGTGATTGATAAACTGTTTATAGTCAGGTCAGTGATTGATAAACTGTGTATAGTCGGGTCAGTGATTGATAAACTGTTTATAGTCAGGTCAGTGATTGATAAACTGTGTATAGTCGGGTCAGTGATTGATAAACTGTTTATAGTCAGGTCAGTGATTGATAAACTGTGTATAGTCGGGTCAGTGATTGATAAACTGTTTATAGTCAGGTCAGTGATTGATAAACTGTGTATAGTCGGGTCAGTGATTGATAAACTGTTTATAGTCAGGTCAGTGATTGATAAACTGTGTATAGTCGGGTCAGTGATTGATAAACTGTTTATAGTCAGGTCAGTGATTGATAAACTGTGTATAGTCGGGTCAGTGATTGATAAACTGTTTATAGTCAGGTCAGTGATTGATAAACTGTGTATAGTCGGGTCAGTGATTGATAAACTGTTTATAGTCAGGTCAGTGATTGATAAACTGTGTATAGTCGGGTCAGTGATTGATAAACTGTTTATAGTCAGGTCAGTGATTGATAAACTGTGTATAGTCGGGTCAGTGATTGATAAACTGTTTATAGTCAGGTCAGTGATTGATAAACTGTGTATAGTCAGGTCAGTGATTGATAAACTGTGTATAGTCAGGTCAGTGATTGATAAACTGTGTATAGTCAGGTCAGTGATTGATAAACTGTGTATAGTCAGGTCAGTGATTGATAAACTGTGTATAGTCAGGTCAGTGATTGATAAACTGTGTATAGTCAGGTCAGTGATTGATAAACTGTGTATAGTCAGGTCAGTGATTGATAAACTGTGTATAGTCAGGTCAGTGATTGATAAACTGTGTATAGTCAGGTCAGTGATTGATAAACTGTGTATAGTCAGGTCAGTGATTGATAAAACTTGCAGATCACTGGATATGTCTTGTGGTAGGTAACTATAGCACTTTAGGTCAGTGTGATTGGCCCATGGTTCTCTTATAGCATGTATAGGATGGTGAAATTATCTGCTTTAGTACTTTTGAGGCAGAGGTTCTAGTTTAGTTATCTTCAAAACCTGAAAATATATGCAGAATAAAACCTCGTTGTTACCAGTTTGTGATATGAAACCAAGGTGGCCATCCCGGTCAGTCTGTGAGATACAAGTCCAAGGGAATTATGCTTTAAAGAAAGTGTATTAATAATATTTAATTAATAATTAATAATAAAATAATACAGAAAATGATGGTGCTAAGCTGTGTTTTACAGAATGTTATATATTTTTGACATAAATTGCATGTAAATAACTTATTTCAGTGTGATAAAGTAGCTACACTGAAGCCAAGGACGACCAATCATGGACCTTGTGCAGAGAAGTGTGGCATCTTTGCTGACCAAAACTCCAACACGACGTTAGCATCGAGAGAGAGCTGTCGTGGAGGGCAGAGTTTAGATCGACCACTACGGAGCGAGAGTCAGAACAGTGATTTTGGGTACTCTTCAGATGTGGAGGGCTGTGAGAACTGTAGTGCTCCTAGCTCTAGTAGCTCGGACATTCTATGTTCTGACGGTGTCTGTAGCAGTCAAGATGGTATGTTTCAATTTCTTTCATGTGATTTGTTGAATGGTGATGTCTGTACAGGTACATGTAATAACTAGACCTATCTAGTAACATGTAGTATACAAGCTCTGATCACACAGATGGCTGGTGGCTTACACTGATTGTATGTGATTGTGAATTAAGGATGTATGTGTACATGATGTATAGTTAGTAAACAGAGAGCCGATGACTTTAACAGATTGCACTTTAATGTGAATTAAAAAAATCAATAATACAGGTCAAGTTTTACTTTTCTCATCTGCCTATCCGAGAAACTTGTGAAGTCTTAGTTTTATCGTGAAATCTGTTTTTAAAATTACTATCCAATAGATGATATGTGTAATTCATTCGGCATGTAAATATAACAATTTATAGCCTCAGATACGTCAAACATAGCACAACAAATTTATGTGAAGTAGATATTAGTTTGTACTTTTGTTAAGTACTTTTCCACATGTATGAGTTCGTTAATTGGAGTGTAATAATGCTTGTAATGACGTATTTACCAGGTGGTGACAGTGTGTGTAGTTCCTCCACTGACGGGTTAGATACGTGTAGCAACTGTTTGTCTCAGGTCTCCCCCAACAAGCAAAACAGTCACCGAAGTAAACACAAAGTAAGTAGTGTATCATTTAATCAGTCGTCTGACAAACACTTTCATTGTACACATCTCATATATAGACTTTTTCAATAATTGTAAGAAGTTTACTTTATGTTTTGTTTCAAAGGATTATTTTTGTTTCTTGTTACAAAACTTGTGTGAAAGTTTTTGTACTCAGATTTCAATTTCTTGAAAAGATTTAAATTTTCAACGCAGGTGTCTAGGGGATTGCACATACTACAAAGTTTGCTTAATGTGGAATTGCATTATCGAAAGTAGTGCCACCTATGACCTTATATTTTATATTCCAGTGTGATATTCTCCAGACATCCGAAAGTTGTAGCAGTGCCAACTCCAGTCCTCTCCAACAAAACGTGACCATGAGTCTCCTTGACATGTTAGAGGTTAGTGAACAAGACTTAACAGTCCTACCTTAAATGAATTACCTACTCCAGCATTGTTAGAAGTTTAATATGGTGAGATACTATTGACATGGGGGTCAGGTGGCACAGTGGGTAATGCCTCGCCGTTCACCAAGACAGCGGGGGGGTTTGATTCCCTGATCGGATGCGAAAGGTATTGGGTATGCTGCCCAAGCACGTGGAAGGATTAAGTATAAGTTGGAATAACTTGTTTCATAATTGTTGTAAAATAAGATTATACTATTGACAGGAGTCATCATATCATTAAACAAGTTTTCAAAAATTTCTTTTTCTTTTTCTCCAGGCACCTTGTTCTTCAGAGGATGACGATTTCATAACAGAGGAAGAAATAAAGCACTTCAAAGCCAATAAGAAGAAAATACTAGAAAAACGGCAAGAACTGCGGGAAGACTTACGAAAGAAATTCAACACCAAGTTTCAGCAGCAGGGAGCGGACGGTCAACCATATTGGAAAGAAAACCTTGACAACATCGTCCAGAAGATGTGTAAAATGTGATAAAGAACAAGAAAGCTGTGGCATGCTCTATATTTAACAAGTGTATTTACGAAGGACTGGGAATGGTTTAAGACATTTCATATATCTATGTGAGATTCTGTCAGGGATTTGGTTGATTCCTTCATTTCTCTAAGTTAGGCTCCACACTTATGTAATCGATCAGAATCTGTGACAATGTATTTCTTGGGACTTTTTGGGTACAGATATTTGTGACGTCCTTTTGGAGAATTTAAACTTTATAACCATAACGTCTGGGACTAATGGGACTCGTGAAATTTGTTGCCTCGCCCGAAAAGAAATCCTGCAAAAATTACTGTGTCCTTCAAATAAAGTGTGAGGATATATGGTTTAAAATGCATTTCTGATTGGTTGAGACAAAGTTAAAACTTTTGGGTCTACTTTCTTCATACTGTGTGGGAGTGATAAATAGGGTATATACTTGATGTCAACCTTATGGGATTCCAGAAGGCCAACATTGCCTCTGGTTGGCTGAAAGAAATACCGGTTATGGTTTTAACTATTGGTAGTGATACATTTGGATCAAAGTAAATTTGGGTATATTTTGCAGATCTAAATGTCATAATTTTGTATGCAACATTTTGGGTGACCTTTGTAACAGGACCTGTGATAATAAGATGAATATATATGCTGAGGTTTTACTGGCTTGATATTCATGTTTGATTAAATATCTTAATGGTATAGTAACAATATTTCACGGTTTAGAAAGTCCATAGGGGGAATTTAATGTAAAGAAAATGATTTATTAGGTTGAAAAGCTTCAAATTGTTGTTCCTGTTACAACTGGGAATTAGAAAAGGCTCACAAGTAAGGATCGCTCAAACAAACTGTCTTCAAGAAACTATAAAATTGGTTATACCTACTGATATAACATTCAGCATGGAGCCTAGCATAGAGAAAAGGTGTCGATAGCTCAAGTTTGTCGCAAACAACATCCATTGTGGGTTTAAAATCTTGTTAGAGGTCTGTAAGGTGTAGATCACCAAGACTGGGATCATTCATGACAAAATTTGCCCATTAAATTTCCAATTATAGCTAAAAAGATACATTTTAATTGTATTGTGTATGTCTTAAAAATGTGTCTGACAGGAAACATGATAAATTGTGTCGACATGATACATTGTAAAGTATGTATTTGGATGGATTTAGGTACGAGAGACGGCCTATTAAACATTGTCTCTTTTTTCTCTACATAATGACTTGCCTTTAGAATGGTCTTAGCATGTACATCGTGAGATTTGCATGTCACTTTCATTTTAGAAATTTTCTGTAATATTGGACATGAGACAGCTGAAAGATCTGTTAATGTCATGTAGTTATATACATGTATTTATGTCAAAATTTCTTTGCTTTATTTAAAAAATATTTTAATATTATATTTATAGTCATAAATATGTTGATCATTTTGTTCAAAATGATGGTTGTTAAATAATTTTAATGAACATCCACTTAACTCTATTCAATTAAATCTCAATGACCAACTGTTTACAAAATGAATTAGTTCTGTTTTAAGGTAGAGAGTACAGATCTAGAGTAATATTTTTGTACTGTAACATTAAATACATTTCCAGGTAAATACATTGTCGTTATTTAGTAATAATTGGAAAAGGATTAAATAGTGAAATTTATTCCAGCAACATTTGATATCAATGAACTACATTTAATATTTATTCATATGAAATGTTTTAGAAAAAGGGGAATACCCAATGGCATCTTATTAATCTGGACACTCAGGTTTTGGAATAAAATCATGTGATATAAATCATCACAAAGAAAAAGATAAATTCCTACAAATCAACATGTTTATATTCTATTTCTGGTTTTATCAGACACAGTGTTGAAGTGTATTGTCTTCATGTTGACTCTAGGGGCTGAGATTTACATTTTAGAGAAGGGAACCGGCATGTCTGGTACACATGACATGCACACATACTTCCACACGAGAGGGATATTATAACTTAGATAAGTGCTATATATGTAGGAAAAATCTGAACAGATATGATAATCTTAAACAGTGAATAATTAAAGTCTTTAAATATTACACATATTTTGTCATCTACAGTGTGATGAAAGTTAAGGAAATATTGTCAACTAAAATGTTTCCTCTGTCAAGTTAAAAAAACCTTGAGCAAGCTTTAGAGTTTAAAAAGATTATTCCATACCATATGTTAGAGGGAGATAAATTTATCTAGATTCTACCAACTGTCACTTGTGGTTTATATCAAATTGTTTAGTGTCTTTACACTGACACTGTGGTTTTTGTACGCTTACTTTTAAGACCTCACTTGTACATGTTATAAAACTTTCTTCATCACAGTTCTGAACACCTGACTGTACACTTACAATGATAAATCATCAATATTTGTCTTGTTTTAAGTTTTACAGTGTGCCAGTAATAATGTCATCAAGGAGAAGCCATTTATATTTCTAAGTTGTGTGGTTTTACATCAGAGAAACACCATGCTTTATTGAAGATTTAATATACAAAAACAAGTATGGTAAGCTTACAATTTTCCATTAATGATGTTTTAAAAAACTACCCGTTATGTGGTTTTGAAGAAATGAAGAAACCTGTTGGCTTGTTGAAAGTAATACCAGTCAATCTGGATGACAAATTATTTACTGCAAAATTTCTCATCTGCAAGGGGATTTTCTTTATATGTCTTTTCATGAAAGTGAGTTCATACAATGAATTCTTGATTGATTTCATTTGTAAAGAAACAGTTTGCATATGGTAGATGACAGACTTGTTTATGCCAAGCATGGTTGGTTGTAGTTGTTGAAAACAAAATCCATAAATTATTTCATTGTCTGGTCCAATAAATATTTTGACATTTTTTAATGTTTCTGTCGACTTCACATGCATATTGTTGCTGTTGTTTACTTGTTGGTAACTTGTGATTATCCATGCTACACAAGAACCTATATATCACTGCTCACAGCAGATCTGTCCAAACGTTGTGTTCTACTAACTTAAACAGCCGGAGAACATTGAAATGGATCGTCTCTTTTTGATGCACTGGTATTTAGCTTCTTGTATTGGCGTGACCAAAGTGTTTTTGTTGATTCTTGTTGATTTGCCTTTTCAGGAGCTGTGGAAATGGAGAGATTGTTATGTGGTATGGTACAATGTGTACTGAGTATACTAGGACGCTACAATCCACCGTCACCCGGTGGCGGGATTACTATTTATAACAACTACATGTATTTAAGACATGCGAAAGTGTCTTTGTGACTTTTGTAACAAATAATGAAATGGAATTTTGGCAGGTGGAGTGGTGTTAGAATGATCTGCCAAATAAATTCTGCTATATTTTATTGTCTTGGTCTCCTTGTTGTTTGTACTACCAACTGATATGATCAACACACCTTGACTGTAGTACCTATAGGCAGGATCAACACACCTTGAATGTAGTACCTATAGGCAGGATCAACACATCTTGACTGTGTAGTACCTATAGACAGGATCAACACACCTTGCCTGTAGTACCTATAGGCAGGATCAACACACCTCGACTGTAGTACATATAGACAAGATCAACACACCTTGACTGTAGTACCTATAGGCAGGATTTACACATCTTGACTGTAGTACCTATAAACAAGATCAACACATCTTGACTGTGTAGTACCTATAGGCAGGATCAGCACATCTTGACTCTGTAGTACCTATAGGCAGGATCAACACACCTTGACTGTAGTACCCATAGGCAGGATCAACACATCTTGACGGTAGTACCTATAGACAGGATCAACACCCCTTGACTGTAGTACCTATAGGCACGATCAACACATCTTGACTGTAGTACTTATAGACAGGATCAACACACCTTGACTGTTGAGTACCTATAGACAGGATCAACACCCCTTGACTGTAGTACCTATAGACAGGATCAACACTCCTTGACTGTAGTACCTATAGGCACGATCAACACATCTTGACTGTAGTACCTATACACCTTGACTGTAGTACCTATAAGCAGGACCAACACATCTTGACTGTAGTACCTAAAGGCAGGACCAACACATCTTGACTGTAGTACCTATAGACAGGATCAACACATCTTGCCTGTAGTACCTATAGTCAGGATCAGCACACCTTGACTGTAGTACCTATAGACAGGATCAACACATCTTGACTGTACTACCTATAGGCAGGATTTACACATCTTGACTGTAGTACCTATAGGCAGGACCAACACATCTTGACTGTAGTACCTATAGACAGGATCAACACATCTTGACTGTACTACCCATAGACATTATCAACACATCTTGACAACTAAAATGTTTCCTCTGTCAAGTTAAAAAAACCTTGAGCAAGCTTTAGAGTTTAAAAAGATTATTCCATACCATATGTTAGAGGGAGATAAATTTATCTAGATTCTACCAACTGTCACTTGTGGTTTATATCAAATTGTTTAGTGTCTTTACACTGACACTGTGGTTTTTGTACGCTTACTTTTAAGACCTCACTTGTACATGTTATAAAACTTTCTTCATCACAGTTCTGAACACCTGACTGTACACTTACAATGATAAATCATCAATATTTGTCTTGTTTTAAGTTTTACAGTGTGTCAGTAATAATGTCATCAAGGAGAAGCCATTTATATTTCTAAGTTGTGTGGTTTAACATCAGAGAAACACCATGCTTTATTGAAGATTTAATATACAAAAACAAGTATGGTAAGCTTACAATTTTCCATTAATGATGTTTTAAAAAAACTACCCGTTATGTGGTTTTGAAGAAATGAAGAAACCTGTTGGCTTGTTGAAAGTAATACCAGTCAATCTGGATGACAAATTATTTACTGCAAAATTTCTCATCTGCAAGGGGATTTTCTTTATATGTCTTTTCATGAAAGTGAGTTCATACAATGAATTCTTGATTGATTTCATTTGTAAAGAAACAGTTTGCATATGGTAGATGACAGACTTGTTTATGCCAAGCATGGTTGGTTGTAGTTGTTGAAAACAAAATCCATAAATTATTTCATTGTCTGGTCCAATAAATATTTTGACATTTTTTAATGTTTCTGTCGACTTCACACTCAATCTTGAGTGTGTACTGCCCAGACATGATCAGCACATCTAGAGTTTGTACTACCCATAGACATGATCATCACATCTTGAGTGAGTACTACCGATAGACATGATCATCACATTTTGAGTGTGTACTACCGATAGACATGATCAACACATCTTGAGTGTGTACTGCCCATAGACATGATCATCACATCTTGAGTGTGTAATGCCCATAGACATGATCATCCCATCCTGAGTGTGTACTGCCCATAGACATGATCATCACATTTTGAGTGTGTACTGCCCATAGACATGATTATTTTATCATGTATACAGACTATCAGAAATCTGCACCTTCATATCTTGCTAAAAACAATATTCAGAACAATCTTCACTTTTTTTGATATTTTATTTTTTTCTTGTATCTATGTACAATAAATGTATCATTATAAAACATAAGTCTTTCTATCATGAAAGACACCTGACATATAATCTCTACAGTATTAACAAATTTAAATTCCTTGTGTTTTAAAATTTATCTATTATTAGCTGGCACCTAACGCCACAATCTAAGCACTAGACTAGCTTTGTTATGAGTATGGGTTTTGGATAGAGACAATATATAGATAATTTCAAAACAAGAGCTGTACAAATATATCGGGACTGTTTTGTACAAATGCTATGGTTTTGACAAATACATTGACGCAGGATATTTGAAGATCGGACAGTGATAAAAATGTTTTAAAAAAATTGTCTTCAAACTGACTGAAATTAAGAAATTGAAAAATTCAGAGTTTAAAAGTGTTTAACAGGTAAAACAAATCTGTATCACAGGATTGAATTGCTTCAAAATTAATGTAGTAGTAAAATAATACAAATATCTTGTAATTACCTTGTAAATAATGCATGTATCTTTTATCAGAACAGCATGGTAATGAAAGCAGGAATCTCGTATCGGAATCTGTAGTAGTTATAATGAATACATGTATCCTGTATCAGAACTACGTAGTAATTAATACATGTTTCTTTTATCAGAATTACACTGTAATGAAAGCAGGAATCTTGTATCTATGGTTCTGACCCAAGGGAACAAGGAAATCAAGCAGCCATTCGAGAGGCCAGTATACTCGACTTGGAACAAAACAGCGTATCTCTGAAGTTTAATCTTCAAACTCATGAAGATTTTGGACAAGGAGGGCATTGTGTTACCAGATTGATTTCGACAAGAGGGCCATAGTGTTACTAGATTAAGTAGTAATGAATGCACATATCTTAGAATAATTGCCTAACAAAAACATGTATCTTGGAATATTTATAACAATGAGTATGTCAAATTACATATCGTGAAAATGACACATCTATAAAAACTATATTTTCCATGACAGAATCCTGATCAACAGGTTATTAAGTTCACTTTTGAATAATTCACATACCCTTTTATTCTAATACATATTTGTAATTGTTGCAAGAGACTAGGAATTTCTACACCATGTTGTCTATGGATTCCTTGTTAAGTAAATTATTTGATTATGATTTTTTTTCTTCCTGGTACATATAAACAATGTTCCCGAACACTGAAACTAACATATTATATATTTTACATCAAGTGACTCTCAAAGTACCTTACTACTTGTACTAAGGAGTACAAAACATATCATCTCTGTCAAGATGTATACATAATATCAGTGTGACCACTTCACAGTCAATATTCTGAATGATTCTGTCCAATACCGAGACAGCGAGAAAATATTCCATTATGGACAACCATGATAAAGACAATATTATACCCTACATGTACAACATTCACTGGTGTACACCAGATTTGTCTGTGGATTGACAACAATGGAGACTTCATCATGCCTAGAATTACAGCCCTATCTTTTCATCAAATATGATCACACAAATAGAGAAATTCCTACATCTTTCTACAGCTATCCATATCCTGCATTTCAGGGAATAAATTAAATAGCTTGGGAACAAACTCTTTGATCTTTGTCCCTGCAAAGAAAGGGACACCTGGTTATTATCCTATATGGCCTCCCAATTAACAATAGCAGCCATTGTCAGGCCTGGTCATCAAAGAGAATCGCAATCTTCAGCTTGTCCAATAAGATTTGTTTCACAACAATAAGTTATGTACTATGAGACAATAAATTACACTGCCGAGTTGAGATATGGTAAAAAGGTTGATGACGAGGCTGAAGAGACCATATACATGCCGGTTTGTAGCATTTTACTGTGTGATGTTCCACATGTGATGACGAGGCTGTAGAGACCATATACATGCCGGTTTGTAGTATTTTACTGTGTGATGTTCCACATGTGATGACGAGGCTGTAGAGACCATATACATGCCGGTTTGTAGTATTTTACTGTGTGATGTTCCACATGTGATGACGAGGCTGTAGAGACCATATACATGCCGGTTTGTAGTATTTTACTGTGTGATGTTCCACATGTGATGACGAGGCTGTAGAGACCATATACATGCCGGTTTGTAGTATTTTACTGTGTGATGTTCCACATGTGATGACGAGGCTGTAGAGACCATATACATGCCGGTTTGTAGTATTTTACTGTGTGATGTTCCACATGTGATGACGAGGCTGTAGAGACCATATACATGCCGGTTTGTAGTATTTTACTGTGTGATGTTCCACATGTGATGACGAGGCTGTAGAGACCATATACATGCCGGTTTGTAGTATTTTACTGTGTGATGTTCCACATGTGATGACGAGGCTGTAGAGACCATATACATGCCGGTTTGTAGTATTTTACTGTGTGATGTTCCACATGTGATGACGAGGCTGTAGAGACCATATACATGCCGGTTTGTAGTATTTTACTGTGTGATGTTCCACATGTGATGACGAGGCTGTAGAGACCATATACATGCCGGTTTGTAGTATTTTACTGTGTGATGTTCCACATGTGATGACGAGGCTGTAGAGACCATATACATGCCGGTTTGTAGTATTTTACTGTGTGATGTTCCACATGTGATGACGAGGCTGTAGAGACCATATACATGCCGGTTTGTAGTATTTTACTGTGTGATGTTCCACATGTGATGACGAGGCTGTAGAGACCATATACATGCCGGTTTGTAGTATTTTACTGTGTGATGTTCCACATGTGATGACGAGGCTGTAGAGACCATATACATGCCGGTTTGTAGTATTTTACTGTGTGATGTTCCACATGTGATGACGAGGCTGTAGAGACCATATACATGCCGGTTTGTAGTATTTTACTGTGTGATGTTCCACATGTGATGACGAGGCTGTAGAGACCATATACATGCCGGTTTGTAGTATTTTACTGTGTGATGTTCCACATGTGATGACGAGGCTGTAGAGACCATATACATGCCGGTTTGTAGTATTTTACTGTGTGATGTTCCACATGTGATGACGAGGCTGTAGAGACCATATACATGCCGGTTTGTAGTATTTTACTGTGTGATGTTCCACATGTGATGACGAGGCTGTAGAGACCATATACATGCCGGTTTGTAGTATTTTACTGTGTGATGTTCCACATGTGATGACGAGGCTGTAGAGACCATATACATGCCGGTTTGTAGTATTTTACTGTGTGATGTTCCACATGTGATGACGAGGCTGTAGAGACCATATACATGCCGGTTTGTAGTATTTTACTGTGTGATGTTCCACATGTGATGACGAGGCTGTAGAGACCATATACATGCCGGTTTGTAGTATTTTACTGTGTGATGTTCCACATGTGATGACGAGGCTGTAGAGACCATATACATGCCGGTTTGTAGTATTTTACTGTGTGATGTTCCACATGTGATGACGAGGCTGTAGAGACCATATACATGCCGGTTTGTAGTATTTTACTGTGTGATGTTCCACATGTGATGACGAGGCTGTAGAGACCATATACATGCCGGTTTGTAGTATTTTACTGTGTGATGTTCCACATGTGATGACGAGGCTGTAGAGACCATATACATGCCGGTTTGTAGTATTTTACTGTGTGATGTTCCACATGTGATGACGAGGCTGTAGAGACCATATACATGCCGGTTTGTAGTATTTTACTGTGTGATGTTCCACATGTGATGACGAGGCTGTAGAGACCATATACATGCCGGTTTGTAGTATTTTACTGTGTGATGTTCCACATGTGATGACGAGGCTGTAGAGACCATATACATGCCGGTTTGTAGTATTTTACTGTGTGATGTTCCACATGTGATGACGAGGCTGTAGAGACCATATACATGCCGGTTTGTAGTATTTTACTGTGTGATGTTCCACATGTGATGACGAGGCTGTAGAGACCATATACATGCCGGTTTGTAGTATTTTACTGTGTGATGTTCCACATGTGATGACGAGGCTGTAGAGACCATATACATGCCGGTTTGTAGTATTTTACTGTGTGATGTTCCACATGTGATGACGAGGCTGTAGAGACCATATACATGCCGGTTTGTAGTATTTTACTGTGTGATGTTCCACATGTGATGACGAGGCTGTAGAGACCATATACATGCCGGTTTGTAGTATTTTACTGTGTGATGTTCCACATGTAATGACGAGGCTGTGGAGACCATATACATGCCGGTTTGTAGTATTTTACTGTGTGATGTTCCACATGTGACGGCACTATAACACACGATGTCCTCTAACTGTGTATCGTGTCCCTGTCTATCCTTGTTATATCAGAGGTTAGCTCCATGCTTGTCTCCTCCCATGTACCTGCACAAAATAAATAGTGAGATTCAATCAGTTTCTACTAATCACACATCAAATATTGCTTATTTAATGAGCAATGTTCAACATGCAGTCGACGTTTCAGGATTTTGACACAAAATATTTTGGGTAGATCTTCATGAATTGTCGATGGATATATGTTTTCTTGTGATGTCGTAAAAAAAGGTGAAAACAGTAATCAAATCAAAGCTGAGGTCCACATAATCTGACGTGATTGACAGTATAGATCAGTTTATAAGGTACATAGAGGTGTGATCTTGGTAATGTATAAGGAACACCCACCTTCACGATTCACTAAAATTCCTAACTCTTATTTTAAAGTACATGTACTGCTGCATATTAAGTGTTAATTTTTCCTGTGTTTTCTAAATATTCGCTCAAACAGTTTGTGTAGTCACAGTTTTTGGCAGTGGTACATGCACAGGGAGCCTTAATTGTTCCATTACCAATTACCATCCTTAGTTTACCAATGGTCTAGGCTAGCATAAGGGTAATGAAGACTTGGTACATGAAATATTTTGTCTGTATTAAATGTAAATATTCAATTCTAAAATCACACACACAATGGAAATTGGTTTGACCATGGCCATCCAGAAAAATCCTATGAATGATGGAGGAAAATATCCTTTAACAGCGATTTCCATTAGAGTTAGATAATTTGAATGATAAGAACAATCTGGATTCTAGAAGTTCTTATGTTCATGCAGAATGAACATTTAAATTACAGTATATACAATGTAGTGGGGTAGTAGCACACATGACTTATAACTCCTTTGTCACATGACCTACCCTAGGTGTTGGTCCCCTTATCCTCATCCGCTCAGTCTCCTGTCGCAGGAAGTCTGTGTATTCAGCATTCTCGGCCCTGTCACGATGTTCTTCTTCCTCCTCTCCCAGCCGCGCCATCTCCTCACGTTCCTTCCGTGAAAACATCTGTCAAAGAAAACAGAATGTAATACAGAATCTCACCTGACAAGAACGATTATCTTAGATTTATATGACAATGGACTGGGGATACAAGGAAAATTCAGAAAAACTAGTGCCGGGAAATTCCCACTTTCTTATTGAAAAATATTTGGATTTATGTTATTTTTACATTTAAATTTATTTATTTTACATTTAGGGAGTACAAGTATGGGGCCTTGCCTAAACTCCTCACAGCTTAATGACCTATTACCTTATTTATCTTTTCTTTCTCTCTCTTCACACAGTTCTATAAAGATATTTATCATATAGTACCCACAAGACAAGTAACTGACCAATTATTTCCGTATATACATAATATACTGACCTGTTCCTGTAGGTCCATCTTTAACGCTTCCTTCTGAGCCTCTGCCTTTTTCTGATCTCTGTGCGTCATTTGATTAGCTACTTCCATCTCTCGTAGTAACTGTTCACGGTGCTTGAGTGATAATTCCTGTTGTTCACGATTCTCCTCAATCCTCGTCTCAATCTGCTGCTGTCTGTCATCCAACACCTATTCGAGGTACAGAGCATTTTAAATCACATTCAAGATAAGTAACTAGTACTGTACAAGGCTCACCCTGCAGTTGTGAGTTGGAACACATGAAATTGCAGAAAACACTGACAGATAGTATGGTGAATGAAATTATAAGATATTGTCCGATCCAAGAAAAAAAAACCTGTTAGATATGAGGAGAAGAAGATATCCAAATTCTTGGTGCACATACTCTAACTGTATTGTAGTTACAGGACTTTTATATTATATAAACGTTGTCACTGCATAATTCCATCTAGATTAGTGTTTAAAGAAACAATGTATAATCTAGTTGAATTTAAAATTACACAATTGCTCTATTTTCAGAACTCATTCTATCACAATTTCATAGACTTGAAAATTACCTCCTGCATGAGCCGTTCTCTTGCCTTCTTCTCACGTTCCCATTCTGCATCCCGTTTCTGCCACATACGTGCAGCCTCATCCCTGAAAATAACATTATTGATGAATTAAAGTTACATCAGACAATCGGACTGTATAATAAAACTACTATATTCAGACTTTACAAATAAAAAAGATAAACATCTCAAATTTACATAGCAAGTTTGATGAATGTAGCTGAAATAACAAGGAAGTTATATAATTGACAATCTTTGGAATAAAAACTGAACAAAGGGCCACAACTTTGTATATAGGAAATGTAGTAGAGGATGAGACATTCCTGTCCCGAGTTACTCACACGGTAAATGTGACAATTGTGAGTGACATAATATACATGACATGCCCAAACAAAGTGATGCAGAGAGACTAAAACTATAGTCCCCTACAGTAGCTACATATCGTACAGGAGGGGGATTTCATAAAGGATATGGCTCCAAAATAATGCCTTGACCTGAAAATTTACCTGATGTAGCTTTATTGTAATATACACATTCAATTAGATTATTAAGTTCCTCCTTCAGCAATAATGTTTGCTAGATACATAATAATATCAGATGAGACTGCGTGAAATACAAATACTGTAAACGCTGTCAGTATCAACATACATGGCAAGCACTGTTTATAGTTCTACATTGAACTTACTGATATAACATCTCCAGTTCTGCTTCTCTGGCTTTCTCAAGTCTGATCTGGTCTTCTATCACCTATACATACAAGGGTTAAAGTGTCTATACATACATACATCCAAACAAGCCGTTAATACTTTACCTAATAAAGGTACCAGGCAGGGATATATGACTGGTGAGGAGGCACCTTATATTCAACACAGTTTGACTATATTACCCTTGTAACAGAGACATAAAAGTCTCTTTTATCAAAGTTCCCAGTTGAATTCCACATTAAGAAAGTATTTCATTATTTTGAATGAATTCATTGGTCAGTGTTTCTAAATTACACAATCTTATCTGACCCGATAACAAAAATATAAAATACAAAATCAACATAATCATTAAAACTGAATGTTTCAGTTATTATAGCATGCCATCTAATGAATTAAAATAAACATAAACTATATAAATAAATACAAACTATCTAATAAACATCACACATTTAATTAAACTATGAACCTCTTTCATCCATTCAGCATCTGCCTTAGCCTTTTCACGTCGCGCGGTCTGTATGTGGTCCAACTCATGCTCCTGTTCTATCAGGGAGTTCAGGATCTTCTTATCAAGTTCCTGCGGGTAGAGAATACATCGCACATATAAGAAACAAAGGATCTGCTGGATAGGTACCTTTCCTATCATAACTTTTTACCATTCTATTCTGGAAAAAGGTGGTTGATTTAGAATTTACAGCATCAAGGACCTGAGAGTGAACATTTTAAATTCTTCTATCAATATGCTTTTTAAGCTACCAGGTAACCATTTTAATTGTTCCAGCTAAACATAGCAATCCTCTTGTCATAATACAACTGAATTAAACCTGATCATTCTTTAAGTGTAAAATCTAACTCCAACAACATACCAATTCAGCTTGAATTTGTTTTGATCGCCGCATCATTTGAGTTTTGTGTTGTCGTAGCAGCACCCGTCTGAAAATGCAGAATTGATTTTTCTGTCAAACATGAAATTATTAATATACAACTATTTGTTATGTTAATTTTCCTTCTAAATATAAAGATAGTGAAAATTCCCTCTGAAGTAAATATCTTCAGATGGTAAACAATTCCTTTACTGTGATCTCTGAGGGACGCACACAGCTGATAACATTGCATATCCTCTGGAGTAATGGGGCATACTTTCCTGTTTCTGAATTCATTTTTTTACAACATTATCGAGCCACTACCTCAACTAGACCTACCTGCCTGAGCTCTCTGTGCTTACCAGTCCATTCTACTCCCAACAAAACCCATCTACCAAAGTTTTCTCTACTGACGAGTCAGTTCTACCTTAACAATTGAACAAAACCCATCTATCAAAGTTTTCTCTACTGACAAGTCAGTTCTAACCCCACCAAACCCACATACCCATGCTCCCTTTGCTGACGAGCCAGTTATAAACAACACCCACATACCGATACTCCCTCTACTGACGAGCCAGTTATCAACAGCACCCACATACCCATACTCCCTTTGCTGACGAGCCAGCTTACAACAACACCCACATACCCATACTCCCTCTACTGACGAGCCAGTTATCAACAGCACCCACATACCCATCCTCCCTCTACTGACGAGCCAGCTTACAACAACACCCACAAACCCATGCTCCCTTTGCTGACGAGCCAGCTTACAACAACATCCACATACCCATGCTCCCTCTACTGACGAGCCAGCTTTCGACCACACCCACATACCAATGCTCCCTTTGCTGACGAGCCAGGTATCAACAACCCCCACATACCCATACTCCCTCTACTGACGAGCCAGTTATCAACAACACCCACATCCCCATACTCCCTCTACTGACGAGCCAGCTTACAACAACACCCACATACCCATGCTCCCTCTACTGACGAGCCAGCTTACGACCACACCCACATACCAATGCTCCCTTTGCTGACGAGCCAGGTATCAACAACACCCACATACCCATGCTCCCTTTGATGACGAGCCAGGTATCAACAACACCCACATACCCATGCTCCCTTTGCTGACGAGCCAGGTATCAACAACACCCACATACCCATACTCCCTCTACTGACGAGCCAGTTATCAACAACACCCACAAACCCATGCTCCCTTTGCTGACGAGCCAGCTTACAACAACCCCCACATACCCATGCTCCCTCTACTGACGAGCCAGAGACAACAACACCCACATACCCATGCTCCCTTTGCTGACGAGCCAGCTATCAACAACACCCACATACCCATGCTCCCTTTGCTGCCAAGCCAGCTTACAACAACACCCACATACCCATGCTCCCTCTACTGACGAGCCAGAGACAACAACACCCACATACCCATGCTCCCTTTGCGGACAAGCCAGCTTACAACAACACCCACATACCCATGCTCCCTTTTCTGACAAGCCAGCTTACAACAACACCCACATACCCATGCTCCCTTTTCTGACAAGCCAGCTTACAACAACACCCACATACCCATGCTCCCTCTACTGACGAGCCAGCTTTCGACCACACCCACATACCAATGCTCCCTTTGCTGACGAGCCAGGTATCAACAACTCCCACATACCCATTCTCCCTTTGCTGACGAGCCAGCTTACAACAACACCCACATCCCCTCACTCCCTCTACTGACAAGCCAGTTATCAACAACACCCACATACCCATACCCCCTCTACTGACGAGCCAGCTTACAACAACACCCACAAACCCATGCTCCCTTTGCTGACGAGCCAGCTTACAACAACACCCACATACCCTCACTCCATCTACTGACAAGCCAGTTATCAACAACACCCACATACCCATGCTCCCTTTGCTGACGAGCCAGCTTACAACAACACCCACATACCCTCACTCCCTCTACTGACAAGCCAGTTATCAACAACACCCACATACCCATGCTCCCTTTGCTGACAAGCCAGCTTACAACAACACCCACATACCCATGCTCCCTCTACTGACGAGCCAGAGACAACAACACCCACATACCCATGCTCCCTTTGCTGACGAGCCAGGTATCAACAACACCCACATACCCATGCTCCCTTTGCTGACGAGCCAGGTATCAACAACACCCACATACCCATGCTCCCTTTGCTGACGAGCCAGGTATCAACAACACCCACATACCCATGCTCCCTTTGCTGACGAGCCAGGTATCAACAACACCCACATACCCATGCTCCCTTTGCTGACGAGCCAGGTATCAACAACACCCACATACCCATGCTCCCTTTGCTGACGAGCCAGGTATCAACAACACCCACATACCCATGCTCCCTTTGCTGACGAGCCAGGTATCAACAACACCCACATACCCATGCTCCCTTTGCTGACGAGCCAGCTTACAACAACACCCACATACCCATGCTCCCTTTGCTGACGAGCCAGTTATACCCTCTTTCTCTCTTCGTCTATCTTTGCTAGTCGCCACTGCTCCTGTTGTAACTCTTCTTCCTGTTTCTTTAAGCTTACAGCCTGAAAAACAAACATCATTGTCATAAGCTTAAGTAATGTATGTCATGTTTGAGTATAAGCATCATGCATGGTCTTCCACCAGAGATTAAATTGTACAGTCCTTTTGTTATAAGTTAGTTTCATACTGATAAGATTTAGTTACATAGCTTACTTTGTAAGCTGATCATCTGTGTGAGGATACTATTACTGATACCACCATAAAACTTCTATCTGATACAATTTTCATTAATTACTATTAAACTCTTTTAAGATTTAATATAGAAAATTTCAAACATTTCTTAGCTTTGGTGGTGTTTAACTCTGAACTAACTGTTGGGATTTTTACATCACTTTCCTTACCTCATATTCTCTACTTTTCAATTCATCCATTTGTTCTTTGAGTATGCGTTTTAAACGTTTTTCTTCGTCCAATTTTTCTTCTTCCTTCTTTCTGTCTGAATCTATGGCTGCCAGTCTCTCTTCTTCCATTTCAAGTTCTAGCCTTTCTATTTCCTTCTTTTCCTGTTCTCTTTTCTGTGAAAGATGGAGTGTTTAATGAAAAATAAAAAAATTCACCAAGGTTATATACTTACATCAACAAAGTTCTGGTCAAATAAATCTATATAAGGGCTTTGGGGAATCATTCTATGCTATAACAATTATTTCTACAAGAACCCTGGGGAATCATTACACACTGTAACAGAGAATCTATGGGAGCCCTTGGGAATCATTACACACTGTAACAGAGAATATTTGGGAGCCCAGGGGAATCATTCCACACTGTAACAGAGAATCTATGGGAGCTCTGGGGAATCATTACACACTGTAACAGAGAATCTATGGGAGCTCTGGGGAATCATTCCACACTGTAACAGAGAATCTATGAAAGCCCTGGGGAATCATTCCATACAGTAACAGAGAATCTATGGGAGCTCTGGGGAATCATTCCACACTGTAACAGAGAATCTATGGGAGCCCTTGGGAATCATTACACACTGTAACAGAGAATATATGGGAGCCCAGGGGAATCATTCCACACTGTAACAGAGAATCTATGGGGCCCTGGGGAATCATTACACACTGTAACAGAGAATCTATGGGGCCCTTGGGAATCATTACACACTGTAACAGTGAATCTATGAAAGCCCTGGGGAATCATTACACACTGTAAGAGAGAATATATGGGAGCCCGGGGGAATCATTACACACTGGAACAGAGAATCTATGAGAGCCCTGGGGAATCATTCCACACTGTAACAGAGTATATATGGGAGCCCTGGGTAATCATTACACACTGTAACAGTGAATCTCTGAAAGCCCTGGGGAATCATTCCCCCCTGTAACAGAGAATCTAGGGGAGCCCTGGGGAATCAGTACACTCTGTAACAGAGAATATATAGGAGCCCTGGGGAATCATCACACACTGTAACAGAGAATCAATGAGAGCCCTGGGGAATCATTCCCCCCTGTAACAGAGAATCTAGGGGAGCCCTGGGGAATCAGTACACTCTGTAACAGAGAATATATAGGAGCCCTGGGGAATCATCACACACTGTAACAGAGATTCTATGGGGCCCTTGGGTATCATTACACACTGTAACAGAGAATATATGGGAGCCCTGGGGAATCATTCCATACTGTAACAAGAGAATCTAAATGAAGGCTCAGGGAAATCAATCAATACTGTTACAGAGCCTCATCTATCCTGAACTGCAACAGAACAAAGCAATAGTACCAAACAATCTGTTTGACAGTCAGAAAGAATGTCACTTCCTCAAACAAATTAGATCCAAAGTAGTACAGCTTACTATTCAGGATAGGTATGGCATTGGTCACTTCAACATAATACGGAGTACACTGAAAGGATGAATACTGATAGATTTAGTTTATTACACTACAAGAATAAAGTACACTCACAGCTTTAGTTTCATCCACCTGTCCAGCCCAGCTGCCCACTACCTGATCTTTAACTAACTCCTGCTCCACCTAAAGGAACAAAGGATTAAAGATTTCTGCTTCTTTACTCATGGTTCGAAAACAGCATTAAAACTTCTTCATAATATGTTATTGGCATATAATACAAAACATAATTATTTTCAGTCATTTTCATCAATGAATAACTTCAAACTTTTCATAAGCGAGTATTTGTAAATGATACTTGGTTGACATCATGTTTACACAAATAAATATGTCATCCTTACCCGTCTTAGATCTGGATTGTTCTGCCTCCAGTGGTCATATAGTTTCTCTTCTGCTAACTGTAATTATAAAACAACAAAACATATTACTGCAGACAAATTTACATTTCTTAATTATAAATTACAGAACATTTAATTTTTAATGTCTTTATTCCTATTTATTTTCTGGTTATTCCAGGGCTTGGAAGTTATGATTTAATTGGTTCTCTGTGCATATATGGGGCAGAACTAACCAGAGTCATCTCTGAGCTAGACGCTGATTAACATCTATGCCACATATAAGTACACCTGATAGCACTGCCATCCAGCTGACTGGAATGACTGACAAGGAAGGAACTTCAAAACAGATGGATGTAGGTAAATAGGTAAATTTGGTAAATAGTAGGAAGAACTCATATATATATATTGATAGCAAATCATCTAGCATTCATTTTGATAGAAAAAAAGAAAAAAAGAAAAAATTCAGGTCATTGTGCGTTTAAATCATGAATTATATACGACTATTTTAGTAGTTGTTAAGTAGATCTTAGAAGCTACTTCTTTCATCATTGACAAATAGTTTACTCATTTCAAAGTATCTTGCTCCATTAGAAGTCACTCTTTATTGATTTCCCCATGGCCAGGGATCAATCCAAATTGTAGAATTTTTGTTTAAATTATGTTTGAATAAAATGTATATATGCAGTATTATGTATTTTAACTGTTGAACTTTAAAGAAAACATATAGGGGAAACATTTTGAAGAAAACCCGCTATTTTCTTGTTGAAAAAGAGGAATTTTGAAGTACACAGGGGGAATTTTGAAGCACATAGGGGGAATTTCAAAGAACAGGGCAATTTTCTTTTGTATGGGGGGAAACTACCCATAAATGGTAGTGAATCATGTCTAGATTGATCCCTGATGGCCAATGACAGATATCTTACCCCTCTTCGTTTCTCTTCTCTAGCACTGCGTAGTGCGCCTGCTCTATCTCTCATATCTTCCAGTCTTGTGTAGTTTGCTTTTGAAAACCCTTTCAATTCCGCCTGTAAATTCACATCATATTTTGTTAATACATTGTACATAATGTGCCTCATGTGGATATCAATGTATGTATAGCCCAAACAAAATGGTTCAAAATTCTATTACAGTAACTGTTACAAACAACAGTAAAATCATACAGGTAGCATTTACCAGACAGTAATGAACTTGCTGTATTCACTCAAACAATCAATACTGTCAATCTATGTGCCCAATACATTAGAGATAATCTTTTCTCTAACAGATGTCAAATCTAGGACTAAAGATACTTTACTGATAGAGCTGAATTAAATTTCCCTTTGGCCTACTCATTTTCTTTACCTCATATTCATTTCTTTCCTGCTTCAGCATGTCAGCAAGCAGCAGTCTGCGGCGTTGTAGGTTAATTGCCTTCAGGTTTTTTTCATTGTCTGCCTTGTACTTGTCTAGGCTGTAATTTGATAGTAGATGTAGAATCATCATTCTGTACATGTAAGTCTTTCCTGTGGTTACCTTATCAATATTGTTCTGATAAAACAGGAGCCCTAAGGTATCATTGGTATCCCTTTGACAAACTTAACTTAATAAAGAATCAGCTGGGATAAACAGTGAAGTATTTTTCACAATCAAACCGTGCAATATTAACATGTATATGGAATAAAATTTGACACTGATTATTTTCAATTATATAGATTCATTCATATATTTGTCTATATTTCTAATTTACGAACAAAATGTGACATTGTCTGATTCTAACCTTGCCCATTGCTTTTTTGAAAATTCCAATAAATGTACAATTCACTGTCATAAAAAATTCTCTTCCATTTTGGAATTGATACTCTGGTCCCATTCTATTCCAGAAAGGCATTACCTTCCACGAAGAGATGCATCTGATTCCCAGGCATTCTGCTTGTTTGTTGCTATGCTTGATTTGTTCCAATAATCTGCATCTCTACTCCATCGCTCATGAAAGTCACTTTGATGATTACGTTGTTTCAGGATTGCCTGCTCATATATGTTTTTTCTGGATGTCCAATAACGTGGCATAGTTGGTAGTGCCATCTGTTCCAAAGAAAACATATCTCAGTATTTATAAATCCAGTTTAGCAAAATCTTGCCATAACCAGTCACTATTCGTGGACTTGTACACATTTTATTAATATAACATTCTTTAATTTCACTATCTAATAATTTAAGAAGAGAAACTGAGTGTTTATTTTTTTAACTGTACTTACAATAAATGTATTTTAATAGCATACATTATGTAGAGTATATTCCTGTGAATAAAGATGAGAAAGAAAACAATGAATAAAATGAGAGAACAAACAAACTGGAGACTTCAAAGACATCTACAGTAGGGCTACTTAAATCATACAACTATATAGTAAACCTGTATAAATGGCTACAACTGTTATCATGATCAGCAGTAAACATTCACGATGAAATATATATATACAACTACAAATTTATATAAGATGAAGCACATATTTAGTTGGAGTAATCTTCAATAAAAAGCGATAACACAAAACTATGGTTAATACACTGAATACATTAGAAATAGTACATCAAGAGATGATCAACAACCGCGGTAATTTCAATTTCCCACACAACAGAGCAAGTACATTCACGTTCCACCACTTGACGTTTGCACATATGTTTCTATCAATTCAATGTTTCCTGTGCCACATTTTTTCAACATTCTGAAAAAAGACATTTTAAATAACATCCAGACCAAGATTTAAGTGTGAATAATTGCTCATTACTTTACAATACTTACGCCTGCAATTTATTTTGAAGAGGAATTTGTATCGAATGTCAACAGGAAGCCAAACATTGCTCGTTACGAAGCATGCGCAAAAGGGTTTTAAGACACACGAGTAGATCAAAATTTACTAATCGAACCGTATATGAGAAAGCCAGTATGGTAGAAAAACAAACAACATCGAAAAAATAACATTCAAATTCGAATTATAAAAATCGCAACAATTCTGTGGTTAAATTAATTGTCATAACGTATATAACGCCTTTTATCATAATAAGTTTCAACAACTATTGAATTAAATTAATCAAAATTAATCAGAGACGTACAATATATTATACACTTAAATGAAGGTATACATATAATGTCATATTCGATCTTTGACTAATGAGCATGCTTAACACCTTTGTACTGTAGCTTAATTGACTGTTATGGTGGAAGATCAAGTAAAAGGTACTTCAAGTAATACCATATTTCAGCGGCATAAGTCTTATTAAACAAGAGGCCCAATGGGCATGCATCGCTCACCTGGTATAAATCTCACACTTGTAGCCTTAATGTGATCTAAAATAAAGCTACAGGCAAAATATCAGTATTTATGAATAAAATTCATTCAAAAGAACCTGTTATATTTTTTTAAACCATTTCACCCCTGTTATTGAAAGTCGAACAAGGTCATTATGTTGAACACATTTTATAGCCTTTCATCTAAGGATGCAACTTTCAAAATAACAACATTCCGGAACCCATGGTTATTCAGAAGAGGTCGTTTAAATATTTTAAACAAATTTGACCCCTGTGACCTTGAATATTAGTCAAAGTCATTCACTTTAACAAACATGGTAGTCCTTGATCCCAGCATGCTACTGACTAAATATCAACATCCTGGGCCTTTTGGTTATTCAGAACAAATTGTTTAAACATTTTGAACATATTTGCTCCGTGTGACCTTGAATATAATTCAAGGTCGTGCATTTAAACAAAATTGATAGCCCTTCATCCTAGTATGCTACTGACTAAATATATCAACATCCTGTTTTTTTTTAGTTATTCAGAAGAAGTTGTTTTAAGTTTTTTTTTAACAATTGACCCATGTGACCTTGAATATGGGTGAAAGTAATTTATTTGAACAAACTTGGTAGCCCTTAACCCCAGCATGCTTCTGGCCAAATATCATCACCCTGGGCATTTTGGTTATTCAGAAGAAGTTTTTTTAAAAGTTTTTAACATATTTGACCCCTGTGACCTTGCATATGGATGAAGGTCATTCATTTGAACAGACTTTTTAGCCCTTCATCCTAGTATGCTACTGACTAAATATCAACATCCTGGGTTTTTCGTTATTCAGAAGAGGTTGTTTTAAGGTTTTTCTTAACAATTGACCCATGTGACCTTGAATATGGGTGAAAGTAATTTATTTGAACAAACTTGGTAGCCCTTAACCCCAGCATGCTTCTGGCCAAATATCATCACCCTGGGCATTTTGGTTATTCAGAAGAAGTTTTTTTAAAGTTTTTAACATATTTGACCCCTATGACCTTGAATATGAGTGAATGTCATTCATTTGAACAAACTTTTTAGCCCTTCATCTCAGCATGCTACTGGCCAAATATCATCACCCTGGGTATTTTGATTATTGAGAAGAAGTTGTTTAAAGTTTTTAACATATTTGACCGCTGTGACCTTGAATATCGGTGAAGGTCATTCATTAGAACTAACTTGGTAGCCCTTCATCTCAGCATGCTACTAGCTAAATATCATCACCCTGGGCATTTTGGTTATTCAGAAGAAGTTTTTTTTAAGTTTTTAGCATATTTGACCCCTGTGACCTTGAATATGGATGAAGGTCACTCATTTGGACAAGCTTTATAGCCCTTCATCCTAGTATGCTACTGACTAAATATCAACATCCTGGGTATTTTAGTTATTAAGAAGAAATTGTTTTAAGGTATTTTTTAACAATTGACCCATGTGACCAGTTTGCTTCTGGTCAAATATCATCACCCTAGGACTTTTGGTTATTGAGAAGAAGTTGTTTAAAGCAAAATATTGACGCCGGACGCCAGACGACAGACGACGGACGACGGACGCCGCGCCTTCGGGCTAGGTGAGCTAAAGATCAGTCTAACGTACATTGTTTCCTTAACGGCCATGAACTTATATGTAAATTTGTAGCTTTCATATATTTGTATATCTTAAACTGTTAACCTCAAAAAATACATTTCCCTAACATACATTGCCTTCTTTTTTTTTTTTTTTACTATTTTCGACACTTGGCGTCTGAATAACTTCTCTGGGGATATTTCAGTGTCATGCTATAGATATATACACGTACTGTAGTATGGTATCTCAATTAGAATTTCAGATATATATATATACATCGTATTTCTGTTTTAGTATTTTGAGGAATCCGAGTTGATACAGGTTTTGTATTTTGGGATGAGAACTACTTGTATTTAGTTTATATCCAGAAGCTTAATTAAGACAGTACAACAGATACGCTTCAACCTTCACATAGGCACAAACCTACAACATGACAATCATCACTACCAAACGACGTGGCATTAATGATTAGGTTTTGATTCAACAGCCAAGTATCAGTGTCATTTGCCTCCATGTCTGTAATGTATGCGTGCATGTGACGGTATGTGTGCAAGAGGCACGGTATGTTGGTGTATTAGCACTGTTAAATTCTGATGCTGACTTTATAGTGCTCTTTACTGAAATACCATGCAGAAGGAACCCAACACAGTATCTCACCCGGTCTATTACAGGCATTGTCCTACTGACAATGGGTTAGCCAGTTGTTGCGATGAACGTTAATCAGGGAATAACAATATTTTTAATCATTAAGGTATGTACATGTCCCGGCCTGTACACAAAACCTATTGCCTTGGACCTCATTTGGTCTATCGTTCAACGCCACGGCAATGAGTGAAGAATTGCCTAGTAAGGCGTTAGGAAACAAACTGGTTGTCAGAAAGTAGAGAGAAATATAAAGATATCAAATAATGCAATGGGTGCAGCAGATGTATTGTGTTCACAAGTAGAGGACACAAAAGTAATTCTCCAAGTCTGCAGGGATTCCCACCTTAAATTAGCTGCCCTTTACAACATGCAGCGGTTAACAGCAGGTATATTCTTTTCTAAATCCATGACTGGCAGGGATGAAGACATTAATGGTCACTTTACTAACAGAATACATGTATATGAATGAGAAGCTGCAAAAAAAAGTAGGGTCCAAGTGCCAGCTCTACGTGGTAAGGTGATCCTTGGGACAACTCCCGTCACCGCGCAATACAGCGTGAACGATGAAGGCATCACTGGTATTGTCGCAAGAGGCAACCATCAAGCACAAAGCAAGCCTCAAGGGGAGCAGAGTAATATCACAGAATTAGATTAGATCTAAGTCCGTGGTAATATCGGCTAATGCAGACATTCAGGAGGGGAAATGACTAGGTCCACACAATGTGTAAATGTGGCGATATGGTCTGCCGGAATCAGGCAGATCATAGCCAACAAGTTGACACTCCCTAGGGAAAAGCAGTGCGAACAGGCCATTGTAAGGAATATAACAGAGAACGATAGAGCTCGATATGTTTTTCAGGGAGAGAGAATGACTGCAGAAGCTTCCCGGCACACTCTGTCTATAAGACGAGACCTGATTTTGGTCGGAAAGACATGCAAGAAGCTGAAGGCGATGTACAAATTGGCTGTGCAGCCAACGACAGGAAAATGAAGTTGTCTATTGATGCGCAGTTGACTATTAAACCTTTGCCGACCCACCATTAGGGGGGAACTCAATTGCAAGTGTCAATGAATTTGTAAATGCTCAATTTATGTTGACAAAATATATTGCGTTTGTCGGTTAAAGCTTCGACCAGCAAATAACTCGAAGATCGCTAAATTTGAACTTTTATAACCAGTGCGACGTAACCCTCGTTGTAACGGATACTACCGATGCATATGCTTTTATACTGGAGAGATGGCCCTGATAACCTCTCCTGTGTTTATGGGCCGTTAAGCACGTAATAATATAATTTTGGAGAGGATCGTTGACAGTTATCCTTTACGATGACAGTCTCGCTGTGTGTTAGCAATGTGGCGTAATAAAATCTCGCACTTATCTTTAACTTTCTCTGAAATCCAACAACGATTAAAAAATTCCGATGTGTAACTTCAATGAGGTAGAAGTGTCACCGAGAACAATCTATTGGGTATGCACTGGTAAGTGGGAAGGGCAGCAACACAAGCGCACAATATATGAAAAGCATGGTGAAATACGACTTCTGTCTAATTTGGACACCAATTGAATTTGCAAAATTTCAAAATCCAATATTGGCTACCTTGCGGGCATCTTTCCCGATCGGTCTGAAAAATAAACATGCACAACTATGGACCAAAAAGTACCTACTTATAAAAAGACGAGCGTGATGTTAGGGGCCAAAAATATTAAAATCCAAAACTCGATGTGGAATTGACTTATGAAATGTATAAAATGTTCCGTCAAGTTCTGGAGAAATTGCGATATAATAACCGATTCAAAACTTGATTCGGCCAACTTTTTGTTTATGATCAATCTCAAAACGAATCATGCACAAATAAAGACAAAAGGATCTGTTTAGTACTTCTTGAGAATGGTCGGGTGGTGTAGTGGATAGCGCACTTACCTTTCATCAGCAAGGCGGCCGGGGTTCGATTCCCCAATCGGACGTGAAAAGGTATGGGGTTACCTTCCCAACCAAGTGGGTTTTATCCGGGCACTGGGTTTTCTCCCATATCAAGACACCCCCCCCCCACGCTAACATCTAGGCCAACAAGAGTGATTAATATAAGTTGTGAAAACTTGTTTCATAATTTTGGTAAAATAAATAAAGTTTATATCATATCATAATATTTAAGTACTTATTGAGATAAAGCAAAACAATCTGATGATGGTGGACTGAAAATGTACAATAACAAAAAAAGTTATGAGTGATCACAAATATTTTATTCATCTTTACATATAAGTGTACATTAATAAGCTACGACTTTTCTTTATATCACACTAGACTGCTAACTACGCAATACATTTACATGCTTCCTTACACATTATAGCGCTGAATTATCTCCCTTATTTTTGTTTCAAAATCAGTAGTACATGCATACTTTAATTCAGCACTGCCTTATATTATGCTGTCTGTGAAAGGATTTTTTCTTGTATCTTTAGAATGAGTCATCCCTTCTTGTTTACCTCTGAAATGTGTCACTAATTCTAGTTTACATGTTATACATGTCACCAATGTTTGTATCTTTAAAATGAGTCATCAATTTGTGCGGTAAATTTTAACTGAGTCATCAGTTCTTGTGTACTTTTAATTTGTACCATCAATTTTGATCCAAGTGTCTAATTATAGTTATTGAACAGGTTAGAAAGGAGAGCTTGTTACGGTAAGATAATAAATTTATCTTTAGTCCTAATAACAGCTCTGTGAAGTACTACAGCACTACAATACACATATAATAATAGACACATTTTCTCCAGAACCTTACCTTAAAACCTTTGATAATTTAAACTGTGATCTACGTACAGAAAGCAATAAATAAAATTATAATCATTTAGCAACATCACAATAACTGCATGTACAGTCAGCTCAGACTGCTTGAGAGACCACCTCTGTTATGAGACCAGTTTTAAAAATCCCTATTGGAGTTGTTTTCATGTTATTTTAACTTGAGTTACAATTAAAGACTGTCAGTGTTAAGTGATTACTTAATGCACTTTCTAAAGGTGGTCTCGAAATACAGGTCTGGCTGTATCTGAAAGAGTCTCAATCTTTTTACTATTCATGCTCCAGTGGTTACTGCTAATGTATTTCCACTTATTAATAAAACGTTCAACATTAAGTAAACTTAGCATTTCCACTTGCCTTGAGCTGGTGAATGAAAAAAAAAAAAAATACAATCGCATAACATAAATTTGATGATCAATTTTTAACACACTCTTACCAATGAAAATCATCATAGTAAAGTATTCTTAAAGTAGCAAGATTTAAGTTGATCTTCTTTCTAACAAAGAAGCATAAACACTAAGACATGATGCTAAGCGCTATTATTGCACTGGTCCCTTTTCTCCACAAAGACGTGATCAGCCCTGATCACTATTACAATACACAGGTCACAGTTACACACCCTCTCACGTCCGTACCTGAGCATTGACAGCTCTCATTAATTAACATACCAGAAATAACTTTTTGTAAACACTCAAACTCACAACGTTTCGGAAAAAAAAATCTTTCATGGATTTTCATTTATGCTGTTTAGCCCACTACTTGTTTTCATCATATTTTTTTTTAAATTCATGCTGGAAGTTCCTAGATATTTCATGAGAAATCATATTCATGGCAAAATATAAGTAATTTACATTGAACTATTATGTTTATAATTTGTATAACATTCATCATCTTATCAAGTACATCTGTTAGAGGACCTACAACATTTACTTGAGAGAGAGAAACTATCACATTTACACTTAAACTCTTCAGTAAATCATACTTAAAATTATATTGTTAGCAGTAACATCCAGTTACGTTCACAACTGACAGTGGTATCTAACTGACATTAACGTTACTGGAATCAAAACTGCAGAAAATTACATCACACTATGGGCTTTTTTAATTTATGAACATTTGGTTTTTGTCCCATAAAGTCATTCCGCATCATCCAGATGAATCCAGTGTTTTGCCAGTAGGCTGCAAATAAAATAAAGATGACATTTAGTCCATGATAAAATACATGAGTGTTGATAAAAACAAGATTGCAGTAATCTAATAAATATCTAAAGAGCAAGCTGAAAGTCTCACTGTTTCTTTGATAACTTCATCAAGTGATTCAATAATATTACGAATATGTAAACCAGAAGAAAATAACATCTCATATCACGATAAATTTCAGCTTTAAGGAATACAGGTACATAATTGTATTTCTCCTATTGTGTTTTTCAAAAGTGAAGTCCACATGAAACTACAACACCTTTAGGATATCTGAGATAAAATCTGATTCTGAATTATTTTTTATTTTTTTGAACCAAGAGAAGAAAGACTTCCAACTGATAAGCTGAATAAATTTCCTGTGAACAGATGGGGGATGTTTTATTGTATTGGTATTGGTGATGACCATTTAAACATTTACTGAAGCTGTACATTGTGTCTACCTTGGTGATGACCATTTAAACATTTACTGAAGCTGTACATTGTGTCTACCTTGGTGATGACCATTTAAACATTTACTGAAGCTGTACATTGTGTCTACCTTGGTGATGACCATTTAAACATTTACTGAAGCTGTACATTGTGTCTACCTTGGTGATGACCATTTAAACATTTACTGAAGCTGTACATTGTGTCTACCTTGGTGATGACCATTTAAACATTTACTGAAGCTGTACATTGTGTCTACCTTGGTGATGACCATTTAAACATTTACTGAAGCTGTACATTGTGTCTACCTTGGTGATGACCATTTAAACATTTACTGAAGCTGTACATTGTGTCTACCTTGGTGATGACCATTTAAACATTTACTGAAGCTGTACATTGTGTCTACCTTGGTGATGACCATTTAAACATTTACTGAAGCTGTACATTGTGTCTACCTTGGTGATGACCATTTAAACATTTACTGAAGCTGTACATTGTGTCTACCTTGGTGATGACCATTTAAACATTTACTGAAGCTGTACATTGTGTCTACCTTGGTGATGACCATTTAAACATTTACTGAAGCTGTACATTGTGTCTACCTTGGTGATGACCATTTAAACATTTACTGAAGCTGTACATTGTGTCTACCTTGGTGATGACCATTTAAACATTTACTGAAGCTGTACATTGTGTCTACCTTGGTGATGACCATTTAAACATTTACTGAAGCTGTACATTGTGTCTACCTTGGTGATGACCATTTAAACATTTACTGAAGCTGTACATTGTGTCTACCTTGGTGATGACCATTTAAACATTTACTGAAGCTGTACATTGTGTCTACCTTGGTGATGACCATTTAAACATTTACTGAAGCTGTACATTGTGTCTACCTTGGTGATGACCATTTAAACATTTACTGAAGCTGTACATTGTGTCTACCTTGGTGATGACCATTTAAACATTTACTGAAGCTGTACATTGTGTCTACCTTGGTGATGACCATTTAAACATTTACTGAAGCTGTACATTGTGTCTACCTTGGTGATGACCATTTAAACATTTACTGAAGCTGTACATTGTGTCTACCTTGGTGATGACCATTTAAACATTTACTGAAGCTGTACATTGTGTCTACCTTGGTGATGACCATTTAAACATTTACTGAAGCTGTACATTGTGTCTACCTTGATGATGACCATTTAAACATTTACTGAAGCTGTACATTGCGTCTACCTTGGTGATGACCATTTAAACATTTACTGAAGCTGTACATTGTGTCTACCTTGATGATGACCATTTAAACATTTACTGAAGCTGTACATTGCGTCTACCTTGGTGATGACCATTTAAACATTTACTGAAGCTGTACATTGCATCTACCTTGATGAAGACATGGGTGGGGATCATCTTCTGTGTGATGAGGTCGATGTTGCCCTGGTAACGCAGCATGTTGACATGAAGTTTGGGCAATGCCACATGACCGGCGACCAGTGGAAACAGGTTGTATGTTAGATTGTATGCCTTACTTGGCAGGATTCGGAAGTGAAACTACAATGTACAAAATCTAAGATATATAAAATGACTGATCGGGCAATTCAAATATAGTTATACAGGACATACCTAAAACACTGGAAAATTTATATTTGCTATAAAACCTGAATTACAAATTGTACTTGCAATATACTTTTCACCATAGAAATTATACTTATTTTCCAAATATAAATTTTCACAAAATTTGTAAGTGATAAAATGAATTGTGAAAAATTTACTTAAAACCTTTTCTGTTGTTGCTATCTTTTTTTAAAACTTATTTTGGGTTGGATTTATCATATTTTCATTCAATTCCTACTTTCATGACAAAGAACAACTTCTCCTTTTTATTTTCATTTGGGTTATTTTAGTAATTGTTTACTGTTTACAGTACGAATGCATTTCCTCAATTGAAACAATTTATCATGATTTGACAGACAACTCAAGAAGCTTACACAAAAACCTATATTTCAAACTTCCACAAAACTGTACCTGTTTATTTCCGGAGAACATGAAGCTATCATTTGCCTCCATCGTGACTTCCATTTCCTGGGGATACGCTGTGCGGTTATTTATAACATAACAAAGTGGCAGGAGGTTCTTTACACTGCCGTACGCTGGGAGACGCAGCTCCATGGAGATCGGAACATGTTCAGTGTTGACAATGGGTAAGGGGAAAGATGTGGTCACAAAGGGAAGGTCTTTACTCTCATCCGTATGTCTAAAAATAAACGTGTAAACAAGATATATCTAAATTTTCACTTGCATCTTATTTCAAAACCTATGCCTGAAGATTTCATTGGTGAACATGTGAATAGGCAATTGAGAGATTGCTATTTCAATATCGATCTATGGAATTAATATTTACAGAAAACATAGATTCACAAATGAGTCTCCTCAAAAATTAATAAAAAAAATCATTCCTCACAGAAAACCACGTAATTTATATTATGAAGAAAATGTTAGGGGCACTTTTTTTGTAACTTCCGACCACCTTCAAGTATTTTTCCTGGAGCCACTATACAAATACCAACAATCGTCAGTTTTTACACCAAAGTCCCCTCAGAAAAAAAAAGAAATAATATTGGAATGAAGTACTATCGAAATATTGAATTTCGTATTATTTAAATGTTATTTCTAAAATATGAATTTAACGCATTTACCCCTGAAGACACATTTGAACTCCTCAAATTCAAAGGTTGGAATAGTTCATTATGAAATTTCAGGGGTGAATTAAATGAACTAATACAAAAGGTTAATGGAAATCACAGCTTTACATGGTGTTTGTTAATACAGCTTGGCAGTTTACCTTCTCCAGTAGACTGTGTATGTTCCCAGGGAGATGGAAGGCTGTATACAGTGAACCGTCTGTAGACAGATACACTCCGCGGCACACTCAGACTTCTTCAAGCACACTAAAAATACCATCACAAAGTCAGTAAAGATACAGTTCTATGGAGGTTTTAACATGCATGCAATAATTCAAGAATATAGTTTTGAAATTACAACAATTTAAATGAGATTTTTTTTACAGAAGTTTCCATTTTCACCTTATCATCTGAATTGCAGTATTTTACTATGTTCTTCACAGAAATCACATCTAGTTGTTAATTGTTTTCCTTAAAGCTAGTCCAGCTTCCTAATACCATATAATACATAGGTTACATAGCAACTCATTCTAAATAGTTTGAATTATTATTAAATTAGTACTTGAAAACATGTAGATCTCTTATTTTTCAATCTGTATATGGTAGCATAAGCTTGCCAAATTGGATGTTTCACCATTTCCATCTTGAAGTGCTGTTATGATGTCACATGATCGATACCAGTGTAGTTTAATAATTGAACTTGAAAAAACTCCTACCTCCTTGTAGCTGTGATGGTGCATCCTCATCAGCACTCTGTACAAATGGAGTCTACAAAAGACAGGACAGAAATGTAGCCAGTATGTTTTGTATAATGTAGTTTAAGAGGGGACCATATGTGAATCTTACAATGGGACAAATGTAGTCTACAAAATGTATGTACCAGGGATGAGCCAGAGTCTACACAATGTATGTACCAGGGAGAGCCAGAGTCTACACAATGTTTGTACCAGGGATGAGCCAGAGTCTACAAAATGTATGTACCAGGGAGGAGCCAGAGTCCACAAAATGTATGTACCAGGGATGAGCCAGAGTCTACAAAATGTATGTACCAGGGAGGGGCCAGAGTCTACAAAATGTATGTACCAGGGAGGAGCCAGAGTCTACAAAATGTATGTACCAGGGAGG